GTGAATTTCAGTTTGTATGACCCCGAGATAAAATGGATTTTTTTCCCTATAAGAAATAGTTTATGAATAAGTCAAAAGTTCATCATAAATAAGATATGTATAGAAAACATTTTTAAAAGATTTCTCTATCTTTGGCCTCTTACTTCTTCTCAAAAGAGAAGGTTCATCATTAAAAGAATAATTTTCTTTTAATGGATCACTATCACTAGAGAGTTCATCATTAAATGATTTATTTCATTGTAATGGGTCACAATCACTATATGGCGCAACGATCTTGTGTTCAATTTTCAAGGAAACACATTCTCTTAAAATTCAGCATTTTTGTTACAACAACGTATAAACAAATAATCACACATGCATCATTTAGTGTGTACACATTCTTCAAAAGTGATCACATTAACATAGCTTGAAGGATTGCAAATTAGCACACCATTTCTTCAATGTAAGAAAGTTACATATGTGCTCCACTGTTTCAGTTTATGTAAAAGTAGCTAAGAGTTATAAAGTTCATTTTCACTCAATGAGATAGGTAATAAAAATATAGGTAAGCACCCCCACAATTTTAAATATTTAAGAACCAGGTGCATAGCCCTTTTAGAATTCATGGATAGATAATTTGTATCTCAACCTTTATTTGTACACAATGATTTTATCAAAAAGAAACTCGCCGTTTAAATTTAAATAAGATAAAATTTAGTTTATCTCAAAAAATCACCAATTAATGTGACAAAGAACTTTTACCACCTCTAACCACAGTGTGGATGCTCTAATAAAATTTATATAAATTCATCAGATATATCACAATTTTCTAGAGGTGCTCCCATATCACACTATATATCAATTTTAGGATATTTAGGAGTTTCATATATCAAACAAAAATAAAGATCAACTTAAAATGACATGTAAAACATCAAATCTATTATATCACATAACACAATAATTAACCAACCCTTAATACGCAAAAGCATCATCATGCAACTTTCGAAAATTCTAAGCAGAAAAAGTTCATTCTTACAATAGCCATTTCCCACAAGAACATCATTTTTGGTCATAACAAATTTGTCACAACTAAAAGAAACTTTAACCCAAACTTTTCCCTAGAGAGAAATGGAAATCAAATTAGTCCGAATCTCGGGCACATGCAATACATCATTTAGTGATAAAGTTTTCCCCGATGTGAGCTTCAGAAGAACTTTCCCTTTTCCATGCACCTTAACGGTTTTAGAGTCCGCTAGGTACACAAGCTCTTCACCATCCCCTATAATAGTATAAGAGGTAAAACATTTTTGTTTTTACAAATATGCTTGGTAGCCCCGGAGTCTACCACCACTAATTCACATCATTAGTTTTACAACTTTGAGAAACAACCGCAATAAAATTATCATCACTACAAACCAAGTTTAAACTTGATTTTAGTGGGTTGTTGTTTTTCACAGTTGTCATTTTTACCACTAAATAAAAGAATAACATTTTTCTTAAAAATTGGTGTTTAAGTATGGCTTATTGTAAGTAGGAAAGTGCAGATAGTAAGCATTATACGTAGAGATATATCCAAATACCGGTCTAAATCACAACACACGTGCAAAGATAACATAGCCGCGATGAGTGCGACGGCGACAGCTTGTAAGATCATGTGTGCAGGCATATCTGACGCCAAATACTTTCTTGAGATTGTTGGTGAAAATTGGTCGGATAAACCTGCAAAAAGACGTTAGAAAAATAATATAGCTCGAGTCGCGTAAACGCTGTCCTCAAGAAAGTATTTCCGACTAACGAAAACCTTTCCCCAAGATAAAACGAGCTCTTTGGCGTAAGCCGATAACATAAAAACGAGATTAAAATAAAACTAATCCAGCAGAGTAAGTGGGTAGAAAATATATTTTGTTAGCTATTAAATATGAAGAATAATGTATTTTCTTAGGAGCAAAAAAAAAAGATTGATGCCTGAAGGCCAAATCTTCTTCCCCTTTTTGTCTCTACGCACACATGCATATATACAATATGCCAACAAATGCAAATGAACGTTGGAGTACAATGATTATTACACATTAATGATAATGATGGCTAGCACCTCACAAAACGTTCTAATAAGAGCTCATAGTTGTTGTTTGGAAACTGCCCATTAAGCTTTCAATGAAAATTAAATTCTAACATTTTAAAACCATAAAGAGATGACACGTTAAAAAATGAAGAGAAGCTATGCACTAATAGCTACGTGGACTATAAAATTAATTGGATAAAATTTAAAGATAAATATGAATATAAGAAGTAAAATATTAATTCATTTGAAATACTCCTATTTTTTCAACAGGGAGGTCGATCTATGTTGGTCGGCGTTCCGGGTGGTGGTGGTTGCCGGATAATCAGTGCGAGGGTGGTTGGGGACAGTTCAGGGGGATGGGCAGGGGGTGAGGACTGGGGTTTGGAAGGCTGTGATGTGGGGAGGAGGTGGGGCTGGGGGCTGGGTGGGATCTGGTGCTTATGGCTAGGTGGACAGGGACTGGGAGCTTGGTGGGGGTCTGGTCTAGTGCGTAGGGGGGTAGGGGCGGGGGCATGAGCCGGAGTGATAGCTCAGGACGGACAAGGGTGGCAATGGCGGCTTGGGTTGTCGTTGGCGGTGGCGTCACTGGAGGCGGCGTCACTGTGGGGCGTCACTGCAAGTGATGTCACTGTGACGACGTCACTGCGGCTGATGTCTCTGCGGAGGTTAGTTGGGTGAATGTTACTACAGAGATGTCACTTTGCATTAGTCACTTTTTTGTCCAAATTTAAATGCGGCCACTTTTCTGGAAAATAGCTTTAATTTAGTAATATTAAGGAAATTACCCCTAAGACATTGGATGATGATGCCATTATAGAACTCCATACAAGAAGAGTACATCTTCATCATTGAATAATGGTATGATTTACTTATGTGTGTTAATAATTATTCGTGCTACATGTACACAAAATTTTTACACATTTTGTGTATAAACGCTTAGTTGCCTGTGTACACAGACAGTTTCTCAACGAGCTGCATGTGTGCACATGCAACTAAGGAAGTGTGTACAAAAAAATGTGTACAAATTTCGTGTATAAGTAGTTTTTTTCGTACATAGTAAGCACCTTACCTCATTTGGAATGTTCATTGTCTTTTTTTGCATTACTACACATTGTGAAAAGGAGTATATTGTCTATCAAGTACTGGCCAAGTATACGATTATGTGTCAGTGACTTGGAAATTTGTATCATAATTAGTGCAAGACTAATTTTTTGTGCCTTTAATTGGGAGTGTATTGCTTATTTGAGCATCTTACCGACTTAGCAGACCAAAAACAGGTATATACACATAGAACGAGGAAAGGATCAATTGGACATATCAACTTGTATGAGGTGGAGTAAAGAGTACATTATATTGCATTTGACATTACTAAGTACACAAACTCGGGGTTTTGGTGATAATTGAGTACTTCCAAAGTATGGCAGCCCACGTAGCCCAGCTGCATCCAGGGGTCCTCATACTACATGAATCCGCAAAACTGCATTAACATCCTCTCCCTTTGATGCATAACAGGTTTCGAACACGAGACCTCACATATGCACCGACAACCTCACAACCAGCTGAGGTGGTATGCTCGGTTGTGATGCAACAATTTTTTATCACATTAGGTTCTAACGAGTGCAATTTTGTTCACCCTCTCTAAGACGATGAATATCCTCCTTTCCTTATTTGTTGCCATGTGGCTTTTCATCCTTTTCTCTTCTTTAAATTAATTTAAGTTTTTATTTATTGTTCAAGTTTTATAAAAAACTATATAGATTTAATAACTTTTTAACATCTTTCCAATGATATCAATATTGTATATAAAAAAGTTTGTACAAAAAATCAGTTTTTTAATAAATATTCATTTCTAGCTGGATTTTGTTTTTAAATTTTTTATATGCAATATTTATACCATATGAAAGATCTTAAAAAAATAAATTCTGATATATTTTCTAAAAAAATTGAATTAAAAGTGAAAAAAATTAAAACAATTGCCAAATAGTTAAGAATTGTCTTGGCACGTGGTAAGGAATTAGGGTGGGCCACCCGCACGGGTAGTTCAGTTGGTCGAGTGGTGTGAGATTTGGATCAATGGACTAAGATTCGAATCCCCGCAGCGACCGAGTAGAGGTCACTGCCATTCTGTTGACTGAGTCACCGTGACTAACCTCTCCACCATCCTGTCGGGTCGGGTGGGGCTCCTGGGGTGAGAGATTCCACTTTTTTTTGGATCAAATGAATTAGGTTGGGTTGAACAATGAACATCACAAATTTGGAGCCCGTTTGGTAGCACCAAAATCGGTTGTTTTGGCTGATTCTGCTAAAATTTATGAAGTTCTGATTGAAGTGGCTGTTTTGGTTGATTTTGCTGATTCAAGAAAAAAATATTTTAAAAATATATTTTATTAATAAATTAAAGAAAAAATTACATGTAAAAATAGCTAAAATGGTCTTTTGCAGTAACTTCAGCCAATATAGCCAGAAAAATAACTTCAACCTTACTTTTTCTGCTTATTACACAATTAAGCACACGAAAGTAAAAATTACGTGTTTGGTGAAAAAGCTGATTGATAAGCCTGATAAGCCGAAAAAACAGGTCTTGAACTCGGTTCTAACTACAGAACCACTTTATCTTTGAAGGAAATTCCACTTATGGTCCTTCGAGTTTTGCACCAATTCCACAATTAGTCCTCGTCTTTCATTTAATCCATTTTTGGTACTTGACTATTGTTTTCTTGACCATATATAGTCCTTTTCCGATAGTAAAAATGCTTAGAAATGGACCACAAATGGTCAAGAAAATAATAGTCAGGTACCAAAAATGGATAAAGTGAAAGACGAGGACTAAATATGGAAATGACACAAAACTCGGAGGACCTAAAGTGGAATTAATTCCTTTATCTTATGATGCGGGGTAGTTTCGTAAAAGGGTTGATGAAGGATCCTACTTCCGGAAAATGCAACAGTCAAACGAGTCTCGTCTTGTTTCGCGGCTTTTTGTGCAGCGGCAGTAGGGGAACAGAGCAGAGGGGTGGCGTCTCTGACAATATATTCTCTCTGCACCAAACGGAGCAAACCAAACCCCTCTCTCTCTGCTCTACTCACTCTCTCTCTCTCCGTTCTCGCTCTATTCAATTCTAACCCAACCCATTCGTAGAATACAAGTTCAAACAGGCAATTTACCAAAAAAGAACTAAAAAACAAAAAACAAGAAAGAAGCTCACATGTGTTTAGCCCGTTTCCGGAAACCCAACCCGTTTTTCCTTCTATTCTAGGGTTTTTATCTGATCTGGGTTCCTTTTCGCCGTCTTTCACTTCGGGTTCTTGCCTTTTGCTGCTGAAATGTGAGATCTTGAAGGTAAAGGTGACTTTTTTATTTGTTTATTCTCAGAGATTCGACTCTTCGTTCTCCCATTAATGTCTTTCTCATATCTCTGTGGATCTTTTCTTCTTTTGGTATTAAGGGTTCCCCTTCTCTGTGTGCTTTGCTCATTTTATTTAGTTCCACTGTTTTGAATATGCAGACTGTGGAAGCCAATTGAAATTCGTCGTACAGTGAAATTGGAGTTTTTGTTGAACACTAGACTGGTTTTTGCTAGTTTTAGTTTTGTTGAAAAGATCACAAACTGAGGAGTAGTTGAGTTGAGATCACTTGAGGCAATCATCACTCTGTGATGGATTTCTTAAAATTAAAGAAGTTCTGTAAAGCCTACAAACAGAATCCAGAAATTGGGACAGAGGATAAACTCATGCCTAGACCTGAAGAGATCAAGAATTCGGATGGTCAGAGATTGGGCAATCCGAACCAGGTTAATTCAAACAATGTTGAAACAGAGGATGATGATGATGATTTTATCACCAATGAAGTTAAGAGGAGGTTGAAGGAACTAAGGAGAAACAGCTTCATGGTTCTGATTCCGGAAGAAGAGACGTCCCCTGAAGATGGGGAGGAAGATGAGGAGGAGCAAGAAGAGGGGGATAACAGCCTTAATCAATGGAGGGACGTTGAAGCTGAAGGAAGACAGTTTTGGTCGGGATTTGATGCTGTGTATAACAAATACTGCGAACGGATGCTGTTTTATGATCAATTGCGTGATCAGCAGCTGCGTGAATTTGGTAACATTTTTTTACTAATGAGTATTTACTGTTTAAATATCTACAATGAAAGCTGGGAAAAACTTGCCTTTTTTACGGTCTTGTTGGGTGTGGGTATTATAATAGAAAGGAAGGTAAACACAGATAACTCGAAAGGAAGAAAATGGATTGGGTGGTCAAAGACAGGTTAAAACTATATTAATGGATTTTTAGAGATTTGATGATACTAATTTGTTTATGCCTATTATATAAACACTATGAGATTTAAATATCTCTAAGTGTAAATTAAAATAACCATATTTCAATTTACTTTGCATTTCCTGTGATCCAGGTATAAGAGTTCAACAATTCATTTAACTATAATTACCATCAATTAAGGGAGGAAACTCAATACGAATTGGAAAAACTTCAGTTGCTTTACAGAAATATAGTATAGAAGTTCACATAGTACTTATCATATATCCTACTACATTAGTACATTATAGGCGGGATAATTTGAAAATTAGATTGTCTCTGAATCATTCTAGGAGTGTATAGCTATGCATCGTCCTACTCCAAAAATAGTCATATTTTTTCTCATCCAAAATACATGTCCTTTTTAAAGGGCAAGAAGCTAATTATCATCAGTTAGGGAGAAATGGCTATATAGCTTTAGCCTTAAAGTTAGTAGCTGCTATTTATTTTGCATATAACATATTGCACTTTTGTATGGGATTTGCGTATAGAATAAGACCAGTGAACGAAAGATAGCATATGATGCTGAAGGGAAATCAAGGATTTAGCATGGTAATAGATGTCCATGGAAGGAAACTGATTAGCACCATTGAAATTAAGGTTATAATGGATATAATATTTTCATGAAATTTAATAAAAGGCTATTCATTTTTTAATACGTAACATTAACTTAAAGATAGAAACTTTAATATGTACATGCACTCAATTTTCTCTCATAATTAATGCATAATTTTCCCAAAAAGTGTGCCATACAAGTTAGTTTTTTATTTTCTATTTTCAAATAAATTTAAAAATATATTTATAATTTTCAATAGTTGTACCTTGCATAAGTAGAAAAGTCATTCCTTTGTGAAACATGACTCTTTTGTTGGGATATGGGTAGCATATAATAGTCCATCGTTATAGTCATGCCTGTGATAACTGATACATAGTTCTTTTTGCATTACAAATTGAGGTTCCTCTGGGGGTTGAAGAGGCAATTTCACAGTAGCTTTGATTGTTGTTGGCTTGTAGGGTCATGATCATATACAGAGTATATTCTTTTCATTCTTTTATGTTTATCTTATCTCTTTTTATATTATCTTTTTTTATCAAAGCTTATCTTTCTTATCTTTCTTTTTCTTTTGGTTCTGATATCATGTGCCGATTCATGTTAGCCAACCCCAAAATCTTTTGGGGCCAAAGCTTGGTTGTTGTTGTTGCATATAAAATTGAGAACAACTTGCTTCAATCTTAAATTTCCTTACGTAGTTAGAGTGAGTACAAGAATATTTGGATCCATTTAATATTGTAGTTGAAGTTAGATCAAGTCTTTCAAGTTGAGTTCTAGCCAATTGAAGTACAAGCTCATACTCAATCAACTACTCAATAAAATTCAAGTATAGAGCTCCAACCTCAAGTTATTTCAAGCTTAATGCTCATATCAAGTATGTGTTTATAAAATTCAAGTTTTCAATATCAACTCAAGTCATAGGCATGATAAAAGTCTAGTCATTTTCATTAAGTTGATTGAGTTGAGAATGTGAGATACGCATGGAGCATATATTGCTCCAAGTTGAAGAGAATATTGAAGCATGCATCCATAGTGTATATTGTTGTCAAAGTTTTCATAGAGCAGTCACAACAGCCTTGATTAGCCTTTATTTACGTCCTGCTTAGAAAGAAAATGAAGAGGCTAATTGGACGGGAAGAAGAGTTGGGGGGGGGGGGGGGCGTGAAAGAAAAAGTTTTAACTCGATTTTTTTTTTTTTTGCTCGTATAAAGACCAAAATAGTGAGAAACTAAAGCATATGTAAATTGTATTTTTTTACAAATCCTATTTAATTTTCATTTTAATTTTCATTTTCCAAGGTAAAACTGAACATAAGAAAATGACTTTTCTTAGCATTTATTTACCCTTGATGACTTGGTCAGCTCAAATGGTTATTCTTCAATTGTCGACACTTTGAATTGGACAACCACTTCTAATCAATTTGAACTCATCATAACCCAATAAGCACTTATACGTTTGCCCATAGGCTCCTTGCAACTGAGGGTTAATGTTGAAGAGTTTTGGAAAGGTGGTACGGTTTGGGTCTATTTGGAATTTTGGAAAGGCCAGCAAAAGAAAATAGGGAGAAAATCTAGGAAAATTTTGGGAGGAATGTAAATGTGGGGAAAAATAATTGACTCTAAACAAATTCAATTATTTGTTCCAACTCATTTTATTTGTTTATTTATTTCTATTACACAAAGACTAATGAATCTAAGCATTTGTAAAAAATTCAAAAACATCACTCATTCTAAATTTTAATTTTCACTTTCCGAGGTAAAAGAAAGCACACGAAAATAACATTCCAAATATGCCCCTATCAGTTCTGGTATCCAAACATGCCCTTCATGTTTAAGCTCTTATGTTGAATAAAATACTTGCAGGCTCTCATGTTCCTTCAAAGCCATCTCCAATGCGTGCATCTAAAAGGCTTGCATCACCATTTCGGTGTCTTTCCTTGAAGAACATAGACGAACCAGAAGACGAAACTGAGCACCTTCACAAGCCAGGGTTTGACCCTTACCATGATCTTGAAACAGCTTATGTGGCTCAGTTATGTTTGACTTGGGAGATACTTCATTGCCAGTACACACAGTTGAGCCAGAAAATAGCCCACCAACCTGAAAGTTCCACATCTTACAATCATAGTGCCCAGCAGTTTCAACAATTCCTTGTTTTGTTGCAGAGGTTTATTGAAAACGAACCGTTTGAGCATGGCTTGAGGCCAGAGATTTATGCACGTAGCAGGAGGTCATTTAGTAAGCTACTTCAGGTGCCTAAAGTTGAAGGTATTTAAAGCTTTTAACAAAATTCTTGCATTAAGTATCCGTTTGGCAAAAGTTATTTTGCTGAATCCTTGAATTTGCTTAGATTTTGAATGGAGAAGTATTTAGTGACAACCTTTTCAACCAAACAGTATGTCAAAAGTGACTTATTCCATAAGCGGAACAGGCTACCATCCTTTTGGCAGCCAAAATCGGCTTATTATGCTTATCAACGTAATAAGCAAAATAAGTAACTTTCTCAATCAAATAACCCACGTCAAAGAGGTCCTAAGTGCCCATGTGGTATGAATTTTTCGTCTTATCAGTCATATTTTAATTAACTAAATACTACCTCTGTCCCAAAATCAAGACGATTTGACATACACATAGAATATTTTCATTAGGACTGAAATTTTCTAGTCTGGTTTGGTCTGATATGGGACTGAAATAAGTCAAAGTAAAACATCCATATTACTGCAAGATAATTTTTTCATTTTACTTTCCAAGTATACCCTTACTCACATTTGCCTATTTAGGGGCCGTTTGGAGCACCAAAAAAGGCTGATAAGCCTGAAAGTGCACAAAAAATCGGCAAACACCCACCAAATTAGCTACTTGGGCTGATTTTTCTTAGCAGCTGAAAAAACAAGTGTGAAGCTACTTTTCCAGCTGATATTTATTATTCTACTGATGGAAGTGGAAAAGACCCTTTACCCCCATCACATGTGTAGAGATCAACGTAAGAATGCCCCAACCTGCATCTCGATTTTTCCTAAGCCCTTCCACTGAAAATGGAAGAATGATCTGACGAAGCATTACATAACAGCTTATATGCACATGAGAAGGATTGGTATTGGAAGACTACCCCAACCCCATATCTGAATTTTTCCTAAGCCATTCAACTGAAATCGGGTTTGCTCACTAGCTTTCCCTTCTATTAATATGCGGTTTCTTCTCTTTGATTGAGGAAATCTTGATTTCCAGATTTTCTATTGTTCTTAGATACGTCTTCCTTCTTCTAATGCAAAATCTCTCCTGGATTTGGCTTTGAATCATTACATACCAGAATTTTACCTCTCAAATATCATTCATTAAATGATATCTTTTCTGTTTTTAGGTTTTAAATTGACCTGATTTTTTAAAGCTCTTCATTTCTAGGTTCCAGAAATTTGATGGAATTTTTCCTGATTTTCTTTTCTCTAAAAAAATCAACTTGTTTGGATGTTGAGTTTTCACCAAGAAAGAACGTATAGCAATTTTAAGGAGAGAAGTAGCATATATCACAGTTTAATACCCTTTATGGTAATTTTACATTCAATCATTCATTTCAGCCAATATATTACCAAACACTTTCATTTCAGCAGCTTCAGTCTTTTAAGCCTTTACATCCATTTCAGCCGTGGGAGTCGTTACCAAACGGGCCCTTAAAATTTTCCTTTTTGGAAATTGGAACTTCATTTTGGGACATCCAAATAAGGCTGGTGTGAAGATTGTGAACTTGTTTTTGGGACAGATGGAGTAACCAAATTTCACTGTGTTGGCTGAATCAGCTTAAATTATAAACAATAGTGCGATCTCTATTTTTTGGTGAGAATGTTTTAAATGAATAAATTGGCACTTGAGCTTTCCTTTTTCATTCTTATGCTCTTTTATTTACTTACAATGAAGTTTAACAAAAAAATTTCGATAATTCAACAGATCAATTTCAACGTATTAGGTTCAGCCACTTGCTATCTAATATCTATTGTGCTTTGCTAAAGTTGGTGTACCAATTTCAGGGTGTGATCTGAAAAAGTCCGAAGAAGATGAGATTCTTGTTCTAGCCCCTGACCTAATTAAAATAATTGAAAGTTCAATTATTACATACCGGAAGTTCCTGAAATTGGATAACAAAAAAACAGGCGGTGTTCGATATAGAAGCCATAATGAGATGGCTATGCCCCTTCAACAGATACAATTCTCTCTAGAGAAAGTAAATACTCGTTCTTCTTCGTATCTTTTTACATTGTAGATTTATAAGAAAAGGATCTTTTCCTGGATCACTGAGCATTGCATATTTATAAGAAGATGATCTTTATTTGGATCACTGAACTTCATTTTAAATGCAGAAAGCCATCAAACTGAAGGATTCACGTAAGAGAAGTAAGAAACGGAAACAGCAAATGTGGCCTTCAACGGCAGCTGATGTTGACTTGTTGCTTGGCCTAATTGATGTCAAAGTCATGGCTAGGGTTTTGAGGATGGAAAAAATCACAAAGGAACACTTATTCTGGTGTGAAGAGAAGATGAAAAAGTTAGATGTGTCTGATGGGAAGTTCCACAGGGATCCCACAATCCTCCTATTTCCATGTTGAATTTCGAAGACGGGATTTTGCTCTTTTTTGTTGGCTCAGCTCTTTTGGGGTAGAATAGTATCAATCTTGAGTTGATGTACATGTATTAGCATGAATTATAGATTTGTCCAACATTAACTTTATTGGGTCTTTAATGGGCATCTCTGTCTGCTTCAGCCTATAATCTTTTATCAACAGATTAAAAAGAAGCTATCTTTTGAAAACCCCATCCGTTTTTCTCTCTGAACGAAACTCAAAACTTCATTGAATTACTCTAATTGCTTGAAACGAGGAAGGGGCTAACATGTATACTTTAGTTCATTTCTCAGAATGGAATTGAACTTATGAAGGATGAAGGAAAATGAAGAACATTTCTCTCTTGTGGGTAAATCTTGTACTCCCTTAGTTTGACCTTCAAGACCTAATCGATCTATATATTTCAATTCTCACTTCATTTCAATTCTCTCTTAGGTCATAGAAATATATTAACATACGAAGAAATTTCAATGGATCATATAAATATAATCCTTTAAAATAGTTTAATGGATTTCTATTAAACTCTGAAGACTATCAATTCTTCAAAATTGTATTATGCTTTACTTGCTTGTAGCATTCATATTTATTTTACTAATAATGTTATCACCGCTTAATGATAGACGCATTATATGAGCTAAAGATTATCATCATTTCATCTACTAACATAGTAACATAAGAAATATGATACTCCTTCCGTCCCAAAAACAACTTTCCTATTGGATTTCACACATATTAAGGAAATAAATTTATTGAGGGTAAATTTTACTGTTTCGACACTGTCTTGATACTGTTTGACAATGTTTTGCACTGTTTTTATGTAAATTTGTTTCCATATAAGGAAGTGTGAAGTTAATTTCGGGACTGCTCGAAAATGAAAGTGATAAGTTAATTTCGGGACACATTATAGACGTATAGTTTCAACTTAACTAGTCTAATTAGGATCTTATTTACACAGGCTATTTCATCTGACTCTCGGGACGGTTCTGGCTACTAAGAACACAAGAAAAAACAGAAAATATCAAATATTTGTTTTATTCGTAACATAAATGAGTAATTTTAATACATACATATCAGCACATGTTTTTATTAAGATGGCATACATGTAATTCATTATGACAACATACTAACTTTCATTGGTCTTGATTGCAAGTGTAGATCTTATAGCCTTATAGGAGAGCTTTCGTGTTCAAAATTACTCAAACGTGAGTATATTAAATATTAGTATTGTTTTGATGCAATAAATACAATGTATGTTTGTCAATAATTTAAAAACTAATAGATTTAGTTAAAAGTAAAGCGGGTCACATGAATAATTGAATAAATTATAATAAAATATAATACAATTTTTATAGATGTGTTTTTGTAAATGTTTTTAAAATTTTAAGTATTTACAATTTACTGAAACACTTTGAATTAAAGTGGACCCGCTACTGCTTGATTGCTGTTTCGCTCCACCGTAAGATTTCTGTAATCTGCTCTGTCACATAATTAAATATTGTGCATGCAATTAATCCATGTCGTCTACTAACCTTTTAGAGGGGTTTTAAACGTGTAATGATATGTGGATATACATTATGCTCACATAAATATTATGGGTAAAAATACATTGTAGAAAATATGATCGAATCCTGGTATACATCATTTCATTATTTTTATTTTCTAAAGCACCTAGTAATGGATCAAAAAATAAATAAATAGTGGGGGCGGACTTACACTCCAATTTTATTAGTCACATATTTCACAAATATCAAATCACATTATTAATATTATTTTATTAGACTTAGTGTAAGATATATATATATATATATATATATATATATATATATATATATATAGAGAGAGAGAGAGAGAGAGATTAAGGATCATATACAAACTACTCTTAATTTACAAAGTGCAAACTAATCAGGGCCATCCATTTACTTTGATCTCCTATGCGTTGAATATATGATACGGCAATTTAATTTGAGAAGTTGAGGGACTTTAAAGTCTTTTTGGTTTGTATTAATTTTGGGAAGAAAAAAACTCACGATCTTTCCATATTCTCTCTTCAACATACGTATCTCCTTTCCCCAACTTCTCCTTGTAGCATACACATCTCTTCTTCATCTCAATTTTCATCTCCATCTCTATGCCCAAGTGCCCAACGCCATCTCCATCTCTATCTCCGGTTCATCTCAAATTTAATAGAATCTGATTGGTTTTCTTCTATTTGAACGCCATGGATTCCGTCATCGCCATGGAGTTCGTTGTACATGCTGGATGTCTTTATTTTTTTATGGTATTCGTTTGTATACGAATTCAACAATTTCGTATTTATGTATTGTTCATTTGATTTTAGTATGCAAAATTTTACCTTTTTTTAGTATGCAAAATCTTACCATTTAGAAGATGTTTCTCGTACATTACCCTGAATTTCGTATGCATGTCGGTGGAGTGCACAATGCAGATTTCATAACGGTAAGATGCAGCAAATTGTCTTCTACAATGCACATCTCAACTTACTAAAATGCAACATACGATATTCTAAAATGTCACGCCATAATGATAAAAATGCAACATATGAGATACTAAAATGCAGATGCGATAGCGATAAGATGCAATATGAACTTCTAAAGTGCACATATCATCTTACTAAAGTGCAATATATGAACTTCCAAAATGCATATGTCATAATGATAAAATGCAATATATGAATTACTAAAATGGAATGTAAGCATATTTTATCACTATGTAGTTCTAATATAAGTTATAGAGACATTATAAATATAAAATGCATATCTCGTAACCTTAATATGCACATCATGTAACCTCAATGTGCACACTTCTACCTGTGTTGACATCTTACAAACATAACATGTTAGAAGTTCTAAATTATGCACACGTTATTAATATATAATGCACCTTCCATTGCCCTAATATTTTAGGTTTCAAAAACGAAAGATTAATTAGGAAGTGAATAATTCCTAAAATCAAGTATATAAATGTCCCTTTACTTTTTGTGAAAGTTTGAACAATTCTTGAAAAGTGATAAGTGAATAATTCCCAAAATCAAGAATAATTGGATATGCTATTGCAGCCTTAATTTGTGATGGCTAAAAACTCAGATGTTAATCTATGCACAAATGGGTGGTTGAAATTTAGTAGTTGCATTCAACTCCGTATGTTTCTATTTTTAAATTTGCTAAACATAAATGGGTGGTTGAACTTTTAATGGTGGGTTACCTGATTTTTTGGGATTTCTTTCCATAAAAGACTATGCGGCTCATTTTTAAAAAAATGTTAATTTACTTTGTTGTCCTTGCTTACTAATCGTGCATCTCAATTATCCAACCGTTTTTAGTTCCCTGCATTTCACCTCATTGAATGCTACGGTGGTTAATAAATGGATAGCCATTGATTTGCCCAATTTCAACGTACAAGATGAGTTTGCATTTTGTACGGGATGCATGATTTGTATGTGATCTCTTCCCTATATATATATATGTGTGTGTGTGTGTGTGTGTGTGTGTGTGTGTGTGTGAATATGTATAAAAAAGATCAATTTATATTACTTGTGTGCAATAATGAAATCATATACGGAGTATACAATTTTAACAGATTACTTAAATAGAAGTTAAACATAACAAATTTTTTGTAATTTTTTATCCTTTTATTTTTTAATAGGATTACATAAACCCTATTTAAACATAACAAATTTAAGAGAATAAAAACACTCTTGATGCCATTTTAGAAATTTTCATAAGTTTACCTCTTATTTTGAGCAACTTTCTATAAAAACTTATATATATATATATATATATATATATATATATATATATATATATATATATATAGGGGTTGATTGAGATTGCGGGGAGGGGGCAACTGGCCCTGATGCCCTATGGGATACGCCACTGAAAGCACCTACAATTTAAGATATACACACATAAATACTATGGTTGGATAAATTTTATGAACAAGAGTAAAACATAGACAAATGCACAAATAAGAGTAACTGTGATTTATTATCAAAAATACTCGTATGACCTGTTTAATTATATTTAAAATATAGAATTTTCTCAATTTGAAGTGGATGAGTCATATTTCAAAAAGGAAATAATGGTCTTATATGCGCACTTTATATATGTTTTACTCATATTTAAACAATTTTCTCAATAATTTTACTTGGTCGTAATCAAAAGTTCATTATTTTTTCCTCATATATTGTCATACATAGTAGTTTTAGCTATAAACACCCCTTTATCTAACGTTCATAATATCTAACATACCCTTATCCAAATGTAGTCACATGTATCTAATGTCATTGACGTGTGTTACAGTCAGAGGTGACATTTTTATGCATTGACGATCACGATGATAAATTTATGAGTAACCATGATTACATTTTTTTAGTACTTTTTAACCAATCATGATGCCAACGAAATGCCCATTGAGATGCCAGTTATGTTGCTGTCAAGATGGGGTTATGTTTAATGATGATAATTTGATTTGATTCTTGAAATTCGGCTTATTGGTGACATTATGACCTTATAATAACCGTGTAATATTCTATGATGACATTCTTGTTTCACTATCACATTCTCTGGATTATGTCGCTTTTTCAATAAAGAAAAAATATCTTTAACAATCACCCGCACTTCTATTTCCACAAGATAACGGATTATATTTTTGCACATTCACCATGTTTTAGGATATTTGTTACCGCGTATTAAATTGAAATTTTATGATTTAGTTTGATTACTTTGATATAATATGATTTGAATTACTTTGATATAATATGATTTGAAATGAAAGTCAATTCAATTTAAAACATTTTTGTATTACTTGAGTAATTTTCTGCCTTCCTTTTTAAGAATGCACTTTATTCCGATATTACAAGTTACAACTTGGTGAGCGGGGCCAACAAAAAAACAAGGATAATAGAAATGCAATCACAATAGAAATAGACATTTTATTTCACAGTAGTTTAATTTATTTATTTTCGGAAAGCGCATATAATTTGGAACCCACTCAACCCAGTGTCTCCACCATGGTAGCTTTTGCAAGCGACATCTGTTTTCTGTATGCCTACTCCCCCTCTCTGTCTCTCTATCTAGTCATTTACTTTTCCTTCGCAAAACAAGAAAACCCCCCCTTTTCGCTATTTTTTCCCTGATTATCATCGGTCATCATCGTAGGGAGCTTCTATCTTGAGACTCCGTATAGGGGAAGTCAGCTTCTCTGGTGAGTGGTGAGCACTCTAAAGACCCTGAAATTAGTAGTTTCTGTAACAAAGATTGTTTCTTTGACCACCCTTTGATCTTGTGGTTCTTGTCTTGTCGTTTGACTGTGTTATTCTTTAAGGTTGTTGCTAATGGTTCTTCATATGAAGTCTCGGGGTTTGTTTTTATGCTGTTTATTTCAGTGTCTGAGTAGTATGATATGTGAATACATGTGAGCTTCTATTGAAAATTGATTCTTCTGAAATTCTCAAGGGTGGGGGATTACAGGAAAAGTCACCAACTTCACTCTGTTTAAGGTATAGGAATTGTATGTATTCCGTGTTTGACTGTTGGCTCTGTTATTTTTTTAAATGATTAGTTATGCCTGTGAAGTCATAAAACTGTGGGTAGCTGCATATGATGAGTGTCTTTGTTAAGTACCGTTAGGTATCATATGATGTTATACTTTAGCATTGATTGATATTCTTATGCACTTGTGTTACTATGGGTTAGTGGCTATTCATGCTTTCGAGTTTTGTAAATGAGGTTTTGTGGATTGTTATTAGTACACCTTCCTCCCACTTTGCTTGTTTCTTTTTTCCATTTTGGTCCGTCTCATAATGTTTGTTTCATACAATATTTACTCGTTTCTTAATTTGTGTGCCATTTTCCCTTGTCTTAAAGGACTGTTGGACGAATGGAGTAGTCAGTATGTAACAGGATATGTTAAAATTCATCATCATGCCCTCATGTTTTTTGTTCTCTTTGTTTCAATGAAACTGACAGAGTGACAGCCATTATTACTACACTTTTAGGCAAATCCTCATTTGGACTAGGTAATCAAAGATTATTGCATTTTACTCTTAGCTTTGCAGAAGCATAGTTGTTTTTCCACTTTCTTTTAGGGTCTATTTGGATGGGGTGTTTGGAGAGAAGACTTTGGAGATTTTAATTTATATGTTTCGTGTATATTCAAGCTTTTATAAAACTGAAGTATTAAGTGCAAGTGTTTACATAACATTTCAATCACCCTTTATTAGGTATTAGAAATACTTATTTTTTCAAGATATAAGCTAATCCCTCTAACTTGTGTGATGCGTTTCTTGTCATACACGTTTGTAGGTTCCTAGGATTTTTTAGAAGACAAGTCTTAGGAAACAAAAACTGGAGTATCCTTTTCTAGACCCACCCCTCCCCCACCTCACAAAAAAATAATAGTAATGAAATAGAAATTAAAGAGAAGAAAAATTGTGCCCTTTATTAAAAATTAGTCTTGAGCATAGCTCATCCCCAGAGAACCATCTAGAGGTCTGGATTTTCCATCACCTATTTTGAAGTTCATTCATATTTATATGATGTGCTGTTTTACATAAACTCTTATTAAACTCAAGTTTCTTTTCCTCAACTGTGTGTTTCCTTACAGACCTACCCGTGGCCTGATGTATGATTAGAAGTTGATAACTTTCAAGGCAGTTTTATATTCTTTTGAGCATCAGCATAATGGCAACTGAGAACCCGATGCGAATTGTGGAAAGCAGGAGAGCTGGGCAGTGGGGTTCTCCTTCTAAGGATGAATTGGGGTTGCTCCTAAAAGGGCATCATAAAGTCCCACACCGAAGTGGTAGTGCTCCTCCAAGTATGGAAGGTTCATTCACAGCTTTTGGGAACCTCATTCATAAGGAAGCCGGAGCTTGGCGTTCGGGTCCCACAAACTTATTAGAAACCACCCTGCTGAACTACCAGTCTGAGGAACAAATACGGGCTGACCCGTCATATTTTGCATACTATTCTTCAAATGTTAACTTAAACCCACGGCTTCCTCCCCCTATAATCTCAAGGGAGAATAGGCATCATCTTGCTCACCATGTAGGGTCTACTACGAGTGGCGGTGGAGATGACAGACTGGTGCCCTTTCCCAGAGGTTCTCTTTCAACTCACATTGAAGAGCCCGATGACGATAGATGTACACATAATGCTTTGGATGAATTAGCAGAAAATAGAACTGCACAATTGGCTGAACCAAAGTTAGATGCTTTGACTAGTCAGCATAAAAGTTTGGTTGATTTAATTCAGGTATTTAACTTGGTGGGAGGAGGAGAGGAATGAATGATAAATGTGTTATGATCGAGCTTTAACTCTGATTTTGTTTATATGCTTTCATTTTTTGTTTCTCTGAGCCATGGTTAAGACATTTCAGGTTGTTCCATGATTATTATCTATTTGCGCCAGTGTTATTACTTCCTTAGTATTATACAAGTTGTTACTTATTCCATTGTAGGAAGTATCTTATCATTTGATACATTTCCTTTTTTGGTAACTTTTACCTTTACTTTTCATCTCTCTTTCTTTACTTTGTCCACTTATTCACTTCACTTTTTCCACTTACTCATCTTCTATTTCATACTTTTTCATCCATTCTCTCCTATTTTTGAACTTTTTCTACACAATTGACTACACCTACTATTTTCCCTCTTAATGTCCGTCAAATACCCAGATTTACGAATAATAGAAGTATGGAGAGGGTATTATTTTCTAAAATCCTTGAGAATCGAGATAGGTTTTTCTGAATTTATTATATTTTTTTCCTGAATTTATTCATAGGATGACTTTCCCCGCACGCCATCTCCACTTTATAGCCAATCTTGTGTTGCTGTGGAGGAACAAGCTCAATGCAATGTGCAATCACTGGGCCTGGAAAATCTCTCTCTTGAAGTTTCCCAGAAACCTGCAATGGTGGTGCCCACTAAAGGAGACGCTAGTTCCAGTTATCAAAATGAAACAGTGACACATTTGCATTCTCAGTTCCACACACCTCACCAAGTCACTGGCCTACAAGTACAAATACCTTCTCATGGTATGGACAAAGGACACTTTCATACTCGTCTTCCGGAAGCTTCTGGACTGACCCCATTATATGCCGCAGCTGCAGCTTATATGGCCCCTGGAAGCTCGTTTTATGCAAACATGAATACATCTGGCTTATACAGTCCTCAGTATAGCATGGCTGGTTATGCTATGGGCTCTCCATTTCTTCCTCCTTATTATTCTCATAATAATAATAGTCTTCCTATCCAGTTTGATGCCATTCCAGGTCAAAATGTTAGCAGTCAAACTAGGGACGTTCCACAATTGGGACACCATGGATTAATGATGCATCCTTCCTTACCTGATCATTTCGGGTATGTTTCGATCCTAGAAATGCCAGGGAAAATGAATTATGTCGTTTATATATATACATATATATTTAGATTTCTTACTCTTTATAGTTTATATAATACTCCCTTTCTCCCAAAAAAGGTTCGCCGAATTGACTTTTCTTGGTCAATGGTAGTCAACTTTGACCACTGATATTTTTTAATACAAAGTTGTTTTGAATATGAAAGTTATATTAAAATGTTCCTTATTAAAAATATTTTCATAAAAGTAAAATTTATAAATTATATACAAATATAATAAAAAAATTAAAGTGAAAAGATACAAATATACCCTTTTAGTATGAGTGTAGGAACAAATATATCCTTGTTCTATTTTTTGGAATAAAGATACCCCTGAAGTTGATTTGGAAGTGCATATATACCCCTGAACTTTTATAATGTGCAAAAATACCCCTCATGGGGCTTCATGTTCCTATAAAGGAGCAAATTTACCCTTATTCTTTAAATAGATAAAATAAATTATATAAAAACCCAAAAATAAATTATAAATTAGAAATTGAAAAATAAAAATAATAAAAAAATCTACTTGTTTCCAATTCTCCCTTTTATTATTTATACCACAATTTAATATTGGTAATATAAAATATTATTTAAAAACTTTACTATATATTTAAGATTATTTCGGAAAACTGTTAACACATGTGTTGCGATGTAAAAAAATCGTTAATCTTTGTATTCTTTGCACTATAAAATTACATATTTTGTATGATGATAAATAGTTAAAGACTACAAAATAGTGAATTTAATATAGGCCCAGGACCGGTTCGGTTCTTATATGAAATTAATGGAACCGTTACAAAAAACTTAACCAATCAAATCGGTTCGGTTCTTATCTAAAAATTCAAGAACTGTTATGGAACCATACCAATAGTAATCGGTTCGGTTCTTACTTTTATCGGTTCCTAAAAATAAATTTTTTCCATAAAAAAATTAACACATGCAAATGACTTTCTACAACACAAAAACGTCAAAAGTTCAAAACACAAGCAATAAGTACTTTTTGGATCTCTTATCACTTCAAATATCAAGTCCAAACTTAATTATTCAACACTTAATAGAATGAAAGAATTTTTGATTTTTGTTTATAAATAAATTATGAAAATCGTTGTCAATAAAAGTTCCTCAAAACGTTAAAATGAAATTAATTTATTATTTTTTTTGTAATAGTAGAATAAGACTTGTAGTTCAAGTTCCTCAAAACGTTAAAAAACATATTGAATACGCAAGTACAAATATAAACATCATTACATTTCAAATCCTAGGAGCATTATTTACACTAAATCTCACAATTACAATCATCTTGAATATTATAAAGAAAAAATATATTGAACCAACACGAATTTATTTCGGTTACTTTTATAATTATGAAATTTCCATTATGAAACAAAATATGATTTGTAACAAAACGTGGTTAATGTATTCATCCTCATCCGTTTCAATCAATTAAATTTGAATTGTTGTGTGACTAAATATCATCGATTATACTACTATTATTACTATTATTATTACTATAATAATAATAATTATTATTATTAATAATATTATTTTTATTATTATTATTATTACTAGTTATACTTTCAAATTTTTTATTTTTGTAATAACGGTTCCTTAACGATTTCATAGACATATTTTTTGTAGGAACCAGGAACTGAACCGTTAAGTCATTAACAAAGAATAGGAACCGAACCGTTAACAATTTATAACTCATGTGAAGGAACCGAACTGAATCAGATTTTAACGGTTCGGTTCCAACGGTTCTCTAGTTCTTGGTCCCAAAGTCCCACCCCTAATTTAATATTATTAAGGTTCAACAAAATCAAAGAATGTTATTTCAAAAAATGTAACAATGTGTTCAAAATTTTGCAACAAGATTAAAATTAAAATTTATGAATTTGAGGTGGTTCATTTACAACCCAAAAATAATAACTTTGCAATTTAAAATTGAAGAGTTAATATTTTAAAATAAAATAACTCTTTATTTTTGACTCTTTAATTTTTATATATTTCGATTCAAACTTATAATTTATTTTTGGTGTTTTTAAAAATTATTTTATTTATTTATAGTCAATAAGGGTAAATTGCTCCTTTATAGGAACATGCGAGTATTTTTGCACTTTTTAAAAGTTCATGGGTATATATGCACTTCCACATAAACTTCAGGAGTATGTTTGTTCCAAAAAATAGAACATGGATATATTTGTTCTCACACTCATACTATAGGGATATATTTGTACCTTATCGCAATTTAAAATCATTGCCCAAAGTTTGTCCATTGATCAAGAAAAGTCAATATGTCAAACCTTTTCAGGACGGAGGTAGTAGATTATAGATATAAATAAATAAGTTGAGTTTGGCAAAACATCTTGAAAGAGTATATGAAGTAATGACAAATATATTACTAATTTACTACAATTAGTGACATGGACAAAAAATATGATCTTTTTAATGCAGACTGACCATATTTGAATGGTGAAGTCACTGTGATGGTGATGACAGTGACCATTTAGATATACATTGGTCCTTGAGTACAATTTTAGTAATATATTTGGAAAAACCCTCAAGTATATTGAGAGGATATCTCCTATTTTCCCAGCAAATTTTCTTGTCTTTCAGTTTTTCTCTCTACCTTACTCCCTGTATTATTTTCCTTATATTTGCTGTGTTCCAAACAGACCCTTCCAGATGCAGTACTTTCAACAACATCCTGTTGAAGATGCATTCAGTGATCCATCCATTCCATCTTACTTTAGTGATCAGAAATTTCTGCCTCATCATCATAGTGCAAGTATGAGCAAGGCAAATCAGAGGAAAATGGGATCGGCCAATAATAGTTACTATGGAAGTCCTACTGCTGTGGGGTATGTGCCACAGTTTCCAGTGTCCCCTCTGGGTAGTCCAGGATCCCCTATAGGAGGGTTGTACCCTTTTGGGAGGAGAAATGAAATAAGACTTTCACAAGGATCTAGCAAAAACGTTGGAGTTTATCATGGCTGGCAAGTGCAAAGAGACAACCTCAATGAACCTAAAAAGTATTCATTTCTTGATGAATTAAAAGCAAACAATGCTAGGAAAATTGACATCTCTGACATTGCTGGGCGTATTGCTGAGTTCAGGTAATCATCTATTCCAGATCCTTTTGCCACAGCTCTATAATGGTATGTTTGGATTGCAAAAAGTAGTAGGGACTGAAAAATTACAAAAAAAAGTTATTCAGTGTTTCGCTTTAACAATACAAAGGAAAAACAAAGCTGATCAAGACATTAAAGATTTTACTTATATTTAGATTTCTTAGTTTTTTATAATAGAAGCATAAAAATGAAATGAGCTGTGGAAAAAATTTAAAATTGATTTATTGAGTTTGAACGAAGTTTTATTTTCTCTTTCATTTCCTTCCTAATCAATCCTCTATTGAAATTTGATTTTTCGATTTCAAACCATTTTATTCTCCTGCATTTTTCTCATTCCCAATGTCTCCTAAATCTCCTGCCTTGTATATATTCAGCTTTTCCAGTTATTTTAGTCTTTATATAGTAGAATAATTAAGTAAAATGAGCATCAACTAATCTCTAGAATGATATTATTGTGTTTTAATTTAACTTTTATCCCACACCCGGAATTCTCTTTCTCTAGTATTTTTTCAAGCTCCAAACAGAATAGAAAATGACTGCTAATAAATTTTAAGCGATCTGAAAAAGAAAGCTCTAATACTTAAACTTAATTACTCTCAGTGTTGATCAACATGGGAGTCGGTTCATACAGCAGAAGTTGGAGAACTGCAGTGATGAAGAAAAAGGTTCTGTTTTTGCAGAAGTTCTTCCACATGCTTCAAAGCTGATGACTGATGTCTTTGGGAACTATGTTATTCAGAAGGTTGGTTGCAATTTCGGTTCTAAGCATTTTATCAAGTTCAATATAGTACTCTTCTGTGCTCCTACAGTATATGGTAACTGTTTGATATATGCTGTAATAATGTTTTAGTTCTTTGAGCATGGGAGTTATGATCAAAGAAAGGAGCTGGCTTTTCAGTTAAAAGGAAAGATGCTATCTTTAAGTTTGCAAATGTATGGTTGCCGTGTTATTCAAAAGGTATTTAAATAATTAAAATTGACATTCACTTTTGCCTTCAATTACATTACAGTCTCTTTCATTGTTGACATAATTAAGTTAAGCGAATAGGGGGTAAAAGGGGAATACAATCAAACAATGCCCTGGCTATGTTTGGATTGTGGGAAATTTTAGATGAAGGGAAAAAATCTGAGATCAGTTCTTTTGTTTGGTTCTACATTGGATAAAAGTATAAAACAAAGGAAAGTCAAATTGGTTAAAGCTTATTACAATTTTTATGTATATTTCTATTACTTAGTCTTATATAATACTAATATATGAACAAAATGTGATCCAACAAATATATAAAGTTGATTTATTGAGTTTGAAGTTTTGACCCCCTCCCCCATTTTCTTTCTTTCCAAGAATTTCCTTTAATCGGCCCTTTTTCCATCACTAATGTTTTCTGGGTTCAAATGGACCCTTAATGAGGTTTCTTATGTGTATTAACTTTTTCATAACTTTAGGGAGTTATTTATGAACGTTTATGTAATAAGTGTATTAAATCTATGTATCATGCATGGTGTTCTTGAATCTTCTACATAGGCACTTGAGGTAATTGATATTGACCAGAAGAGAGAACTAGTGCATGAACTTGATGGACATGTGATGACATGTGTACGAGATCAGAATGGAAATCACGTCATACAGAAATGCATTGAATGTGTTCCAACAGAAAGTATTGAGTTTATCATCTCTGCTTTCCAAGGCCAAGTTGCTAGTCTCTCTACCCACCCCTATGGCTGCCGAGTCATCCAGGTACTTTCATACCCCCAAAAACATATTCACCTATTCCGTTTTGATCTGTTTCATAAAAGCTCCCTAATTAATGTTAGAGACCGCTATCAAAAAATTAAAGAGATATGGCGGGTCAATAAGATCTTGAGTTGAATCAGCTGATGAGCCTGATATATTGTAGTTTGGCCAAAGTGTTTGATAATCCAATTGAGTGTCCCAATCCAAATCATGAATTCTGTCATGCTACGAGAGCATTTTTTGGCCGACTTCATTCGTCTGATTGTCTTTTTGGATGTCCATCCTCAGCCAACCATGAGGCTTGAGTCCGTTTTCCCCTTTGGAAGTCTAACTCCCGTGACCAGTGACCCTTTTAACCCAGCTGTGTGTCTGTTAGTGCATAGCCCTAGTGTATAAGTGTTGCTGCTGCATTTTGAGTTTCAAAAGGAGAGTCCGAGTGATCAACCAATTAAATTGGAAAGCATCTGGTTGTCCACTTGAAGGAGGGTGTTAGTGGCCCCTCATTGGAAAATAAAAGATATAATGATGAGTTAGTAATACCTTGGGTTAAACTAGCATATCAATAGTTTCAATTCCTTAGTGTGGTTTTCCCCAAATGCATTAAGGTCCAACATAGTGTTCCCAACTCCTTCCTGAATTTTGGCAAAAGTATCTTGGACTCTTGGTATTATGGTAATACTATTAGCCAGCACCCATCATCTGTCCATAGGATCCAATGGTGTATATGTAAAATATAATGCTTTATAGTTCCCTCTTGAAAGAATTGGGTGTTAATATTGTTTATTTCTTTTTCAAGTAAATAAGCCTCTACTACACAGTCTCATTTTCTTAAACTTTTATGTCATGTAAAACCATGTATTGATTAGGGACGGATGGTGTCTTTATTCGTTAAAAAATACAATGAACCTCGTCTTGTGTATGGTATACAATCTCTCTTATTTGCATTGTTGATTTGTGAAGAGAGTGTTGGAGCATTGTTCAGGTGACCCACAAAGTCAATGCATAGTGGATGAAATCTTGGAATCAGCATATGTTCTTGCCCAGGATCAGTACGGCAACTATGTGACCCAGGTTTGTATTTGTTTTTTGAGGTTTTCCCAAAACATCACTAAAATAGTACTCTAGAACAGGAATATAACTAAACGGTCACTATCAGCACCATCGTATGCACCAGTCAAATATGGTCACTATGCTCAAGGAAGTCACATTTTTGTCCTTGAGTTTTGTTTTAGTAATATATGTCATTTTTTCGTGTTCTTAATGTAATTGGTACAAATGTTTATTGGTTTTTCAAATATTTGAACTGACTGCATGACTGGTTTACAGCATGTTTTGGAGAGGGGAAAAGCACATGAAAGAAAGCATATAATAAGCAAATTATCCGGAAAAGTAGTGCAGTTGAGTCAACATAAATACGCATCAAATGTTGTAGAGAAATGCTTGGTGCATGGCAATGCTGCTGATCAGGAGCTATTGATTGGGGAAATTCTTACTCAGTCTGATGGAAATGACAGTTTGCTGGTAAGAGCACTTTCAGCCCTCTTCTAGCAGTTCTTCAACTAGTTTTTCTTTTCATACTTCACCGTACAACTTTCTCAAAATGTAGACTATGATGAAGGATCAGTTCGCAAATTATGTGGTTCAAAAGATTCTTGAAATCAGCAACGATAAACAGTGCCAAGTTTTGCTGTCTCGAATCAGAGTTCATCTTCCTGCTTTGAGGAAATACACCTATGGGAAACATATAGTTGCCAGATTTGAACAGCTTTCCAGTGAAGGTAAGACATTCGCCATAACTGTTTCTTCTTTCTTTCTGCTAACAACTGGAAAAGGGGGATAAATGAACAAGATACTACGGGGCCCATGAGCCCATCTGTTTGGTTAGAATTATTGGATGAAATGGCTGAATATTGAGATTGTTGAATTTTCTGAAAGGAAGTGTTTTGTAACATCCATTTCAGCAAAATAAATAAGTCAAAAGCTACGTAGTGCCCGTTTGGCAGATATTTTTCTTACCTTATTAGCCTTACTGCTAATTTTTTCACCAAATGCTAACTTGTGTTGGTGGAATAAACTGATAATGGAAAAACGTAATGCTAGGCTACTACTTTGGCCGGAAAGACCAGAATTAATGGAAATGACACTTCAACATTCATTTTTGGATATTACTTTCTTTTAATTTAAAAAGTATATTGTAAATAAATAAACTAGATGACTCAGCCATTTCATGTATTTTAGATTTTACACCATAGAGCCCGCTTGGTAACACTACAAGTCTACAAATTGGTTGAATTTGCTGAATGGGTAAAATTGTTGAAGTTGTAGTTGAATGGGCTGAATTATGGAACAATTATATTAAAGTATATTATAAAGAAAAAATTATATGAGAAGGAAAAATTGCCATCTACCATAGATTAAGCTAATTCAATGTCAAACCAGCAGTTATTTTGCTGATAAACCAAAAATTTGTTACCAAACGAGCAGTTATTTTGCAAAAAAGAAAAATAAGCCACATCCTTGCAACCAGGCACATCGAATCACTTTATCTTTTGATCATGAAGTTATCACATCTCTCGTGCAGAAGAATGAGTGATTGAAATTTGAAAGCCTTGAAGCATCGGCGGACTAGTTGGCAGTAGGATTCATTGAGCTGGGCTAGTTCCTTCAGGGTACGATTTGGAGGGATATATTACCCTTTATGTAATTGTCAGCCAGCTAGGTTCTGTATTATGGTTAACATTACAAAAATCTGTATCTGTAGTGTGTAGAATGCATAGAATAATCACGTGTGAGTGGGTATTGTAGGGTATTGTAGAAACAATATGGCCATTTCTTTCTCAATTAGTTACGAATAATGTGTGTTGTGCTTGTGCATATGTTGTGCCTTTCTTAGGTCAGGTAAATGCTTTCCATAAATTGCAACCCGTGGAGAATGGGCTTTGTGAGGAATGGAAAACATAACAGTTGACTAGTTTGATATTTCGATGCAAATTCTTTTTAACCCGAAACTACTCGACTCCGCTATGAAATGTCTTTCACATTTTGTAAAGCATCTAAGTGAAGTCTGAAGAGCTTGCTCCCATTCCCTACACATGCCTACCATGCCTTCCTCTCATGCTTTTTGAGGTTGCAGCTCACGGATGGACCCGGTTCTTGAACCGATTACGATCAAGACTAGTTGGTTTCTTTTTCTAGAAGTCGGAATAGTTTTCTATATCGGGACTGGAAGTCTGGAACTGCAATATACATTGCTAGGTTAATGTTCCAATCCTCCCTTAACTGATGCAGAATTGGCTGCTTTGGGACTGGATTGACTTCACCTTTAGTGCAAGCACCATGTGTGAAAGCATTTCCCTTGCATGGCATCTTTGTCACCTCTAGACTCTAGTGGATAACTTATGGTGCTGGCGATCGTCTTAACTCCGGAAACATGTTCAAAGATGAACAGAACATACTTGTACACAGTCCGCATTCGAACAAGTATGCGACTCCAAGAGAGAAATGTTCATATTAAAGGTAATAATGGTAGTCGATTAATGTTAGGTTGTTGAAGATAGGATGCTTATAAAATATAGTAAAATGCAAGATATCTTGCTCTGAAATTCTGAGTAGTTTTAAAAAGAATTTGATTAATTTGACTTTTTTGTATTTTCAAAAAGATAATGACAAGAGACCATGATTTGTGTTATTGTGTATGTATTGTCTTGCGTTTTAAAATCAATTCCTAATTTTTAATTTCTAACACCACAGATGTTGTGATGTAATGGTTAATGGTTAAAATTTATAGTTGATGCTAATGAGTTGAAAATGTGAGCTGTTGGATTTATGGTGCCCAAATTGACCAGGGGTTGCAAGTTCTAATCCTTTTTGGATATTTTTTTGTTTCTTTTGGGATTAATACTGCCAATATAATTGATTAGCCTGAGCCCTGAGCCTGTGACCATTTCCGCTATAATGACCAATCATGAGAGGAGCGCCAAGTCACATATGGAATCTCCCTCTCCTATTTTGTACGGAGTAAAATAAAGTTTCAATCATCTATTTCTTGACCATGTTGGCCAAGTCATGTTGAGTTGGACTGGGCCAGTACAAATAATATCTTTAGAAAAAAAATTACACAAAATTTTTTACCTTAAAAATTAAGTCATTTTTAAAATTTGAGGTGGACCATGACCTAGGTTGGTCCACCCCTAGCTCCGCCCATGGGACAGAGTAGGGCTTAAGAAGTTGTTGACTTGGAAACTAGAAAGTTATTAGTAAATACGATATGCATTAATACAAATACTGAAATACATGGTTAACTGTTTTTTTGAATGTCTTACCATTAATATGTACCTTGTTATTTATGTATTTTAATATGAAAAAGCTCAGCTTGTACTGTTGAGTGTCCATAACCACAACTACATTTGGTATTTGACTATTTGCTATACAAGTTAGCCTTAACATCAAAACACAGGCATGCATATTCTTGAATCTTGATTGTTATTTTTCTTGATTTTTGTAATTTCGTTCATGCATATTATGTATATTGTTATCTATTACAATAACATCATTCTTCTTTCTATGTATGATTCTTTAAATGTTCGATTTTTATGTAAATATTTGTGAAACTAGTAGCTTTGAAAGCTGTATGTAAAGTCAATCATCTACGTTTAAATTTGTCTGTTTTTGGTATACCGTTTGAATGTGTATGAACTCTAAACTTTTGACATGTAATTAGATATGTAAACTATGTTGTATTACGCTCTAATCCATGTTGAAATTATATATTATAATTGACTAAGTATACATAACAACGACAAACATGATTATGTGCGACAATGTTGTAAGAATATGGCATAAATAAAAGTCTTGTATGTACTTTTTGGTTACTTCTTCAAAAAGAGACGTTAATAGTATTCTGATGTTTGTTTTCAATATCAATTGGAGATCTTGTCATAAAATTATGAACTGTCATTTGATTTATTCATTAGTTGCTTTTGGATTAACCGAATAATCATCTGCAATGAGTTTCATAATGACATTTTTTAAATGGGTATCATTTTCCAGTATCTATATATGGTTTTATTACTTACTTTTACCTAGAATTAGCCACTAAGGCTATTTTTTAAATTGTGCCTAATTTACCCCTCATACCTAGAAATACTCTTCTTTATATCTGACATCATATGCCACATATAAGTTTTGAGTATCTATTAGTGCCCAGATCAAGGTTTTATTAACTTAGAGCGTCCGTAAAATTTTGGAGACGAAGTTGGTCAAATGGTGGTTATTTTTGCGTTCGAAGCGAAAATTAAAGATGACTAAACGATTAAAGTAAATAAGATAGCTAAGTACAAGACACCAAAACGGGAGAGAATGGTTAAATGAGAATGATCGAATGAGGTTATTATTTGTCCCGTAATTACTTTCATTATTTGTTATTTCGTCCATCCAAACTACTCCCTTCCCAAAAATACTTCCAAATTTGACTTGGCAATGCACGCTTATTAAGAAAGTGAGAATGAAATGGAAATGTCTGATTGTGGTTGAGTAAGAAAAAAATAAATGAAGGTTAATCACACAAAACTTTTCAAAAGAGGAAATGAGAAGAATTTGTTGAGACATCCAAAATGGTAAATGAGAAGAATTTTGTGGGTTGGAGGGAGTATATTCTTTTATGATAAAGAATTTATAGTTTACTCCGTATATTATTTCGCTCTTTTTTTGGACAACCTTCAATCGCATAGTTTTTACTTTTAATACTCTTCGTCCTGTAAAACACATAAAAAATTAAAAAAATGATTGGGATTTAAGTACAGGATGTTTGAAAAATGTGTTAAAATTCTATTAAATGGTCAATTTTGGGCAATAATTTGAGTGGGGTCCACTTACGATTTGGGTCGGGTCAAAGCGGTTTTGGATTTTCCTTGTTAAGGGTTTCAATTTGATATGTGGTACACTCAAAACGGATAACAAGTGAACGAGAGATTGATTCTCAAAGTTCACTCGTTGAAATAGAAAAACTGGGAAATAGATGAGTTTCTAGTGTGGTTTTTCCTACATCAGAAAACCCAAGGGATTTTCACCCCCTTATAAAGGAAACCCTCTTTGAAGGAGTTAAGGTACCTAGGTGGAAAGGCTTTCTTTGCGCGTAGAGGGGTGTCGATCAAATCCCGAAAATGGAGAAAATGTTGGAGGAGAGAAGTGTCCTAGAATGATTTGTTGAGAGTTACAGCATGTGGACCACTCTCCCCCTCATGACGATCCGATGAATCGGGGCGTCATGTCTTTATTCTTTTATTCGAACTGGGAAACAAAACAGAAAAACAAACAGAAAGGTAAACACCAGAGACACCATGGTGTTCCGTTATCACAAGCATCAATGTAAACACTGACGTGTGGTCTGTATAAAATGATAGAAGCATTAAAACTTTAACATGACTTCAAACAAGTCATTGTGAAGCATCCGAAGTAGATGTCATTCTGGTTGTTTTGTCCAAAATCATAAAGATTAGCATTGAGAACTTGTATCCCCCCGAGGTCATGTAGACACCCGTTATCATCATTATAGAGATAAATTCTAAAGCAATGGCCTGAAAATGTTGGTGATTCTTATATTGCAACAGCAGGACTTCCTTCCAATCACTGGTCTACATCTGTAATAGATGAGCCCTATGGAAGTTTTCACGGGTCATGAAGACCTGCAACTGACTCTAAAAGTGCATCTGTGTCCTAGAAAATTCAAAACATTTGGGAGTGAGGTAACTAGACACGACGTGATCAATGAAAGTTCAGTGGCATGGGGCTGAGGCCACTATAGTCAGTATCACTTGCATCAGAAGGAGACAGTAATGAGAGATGAGGTTCCCCGTGAAATGTGATTAAAAACTTGTCTGTTGAGAGACAAATGAGTGGTCTTGGGTAGGGTTAAGCATTCACTGTTGGACAAGATGCAGTGACTTCTACCCGGGATCTGATTAAATCAGTCTTGAACCTATGAGGATAGTCCAGAGTATTTGAGTGACTAGGAGTAAATGTTCAATTAATAGCAGGCAGTTGAGGTAGCAGACTTATCATTGATTATTGTTTTCTTGCTCATAAGGTTCACTCACTCACTGACTCACTCACTTACTCTCGGCTTTGTCCCTTGGGTAGGCTTAGTTGGGTTTACTAAGCCATATGGACATGTTCTCTCATTATTTTTTTTGATTTTCTCTCTATACTCCCCCTCAACTGGAGCACTCAGTATGCTTTGTCAATGTTAGGCACCGGTGAGAAGAACATAGAACACTCCCCTAAAATGTTGCATCCTTTGAGAGATTCCTTGTTTTGTCGGTGTAAGGCGCCAGGAGGAGAAAACTGAAACTCCCCCTCAGAATGAGCAAGGTTTGATTGCTCACAGCTCGTCATATCCGCCATGTGTGTGGAGCAATCTGAGCAGATACCACACATGATGGTTTCCCTAAGCTCATCATTTAGAATTTCAGCATATTGATGATCACTCAATGTTGATGAGTTAGAGAAGGCTTCAGTAGTTGATTGTTGATTGTCGTAAGATGACCGTTGATGCGAGGTTGATTGAATTATCTACGATTTCCGGACCTCTGAAGTGTAGTTTAGAAAAGCTTTGACCTTAGGTTTGACTTTGGAAGAATTTGAACATATTTGCCTAAGTTTTGACCTTGACATCGGTGATTGACAATGTACCTCAGAAAGCTAAGGATATCTCCCTCAAGAACGGCGAGTGAGCGCGCGTGGTTGGGGGTTCTGGGGTAAACCCTGGGAATTCATGTAGATCTTTTCGTTAGCTTTCCAACAAGATATGATTCGCTTAAATCGGATCACTGAGTCAAAAGTTATGGCCAAAACAGTGTGATGTCACTGAAAACTTCGAATTTTTGATATATTTGAGGAAATTCTTCGAAGTTGAGGTTCTCGATATTGAATATCGAGAACAGGTGGAATTAGAGAAAATTCTAAGGGAAAACCTCGAAATCCTAATCTCGAGGTTTAAACATCTAGATTACAATCTTGAGGTTTAAACTTCGAGATTACAATCTTGAGGTTTAAACATCGAGATTACAATCTCGAGGTTTAAACATCGAGATTACAATCTCGAGGTTTAAACATCGAAATTACAATCTCGAGGTTTTGATCGGGCTAAACTTGCAAGTATACAAGTGCCGATGTAGTAATAAATTCCGGTAAAATACCGGGTCGAATCCACAGGGAAACGTCGTTCTATAAAGTTCGATTTTGAGAATTAAAAGAGAGAATAAAAGTAATTAAAATGTAGGGATTTTTGTTTGTTTAAGTGAATACATGATAAAATGACCAAGGCATCGGGATTCACTCAAACGTTAACTAGAATTCAATAAAAGTTCTTTGTCAATTCTTATGAGTACGGTATCACTGTTATTTTCCCGACTCCGGTTAAGGCAGTGAGAGCGTGATTTTCGTTACGTGGGAGTCCCATTACGGCTCACATTCATCTAGAGAAAACTCCGTTGATTATCAAGATACCACACACGCACCATACAAGATCGAGTATATTTCTATCCTCAATACTTTGTATATTTATTCTTCTAGAGAACGATTTATATTGCAACGTTAATTGACCATATAAACCTCTAGATGTTATGCAACGTAATTATATATAATTAGTTTAAAGAGTAAAACGCGAATTACTTCTTCTAGTGCCCAATTGATATTTCAACGTTAGTTACTTCATATCAATACATGTATTATACTATTATGTTGCATAACATTTATGGAAAATTAAACATAAGAAGAATAAATCATAAAATTTGACTTCGAACAAATATCAAAAACTAGCGGGCGTAGAGGTTCATCCCGAGCTTTGGCTTAAGGAATTAGCCTCTAATGCTCATATTAATCAAAATTACAATACTTTGAATGTAGAAAAAAATGTAAATATAAAGGAAATATTACCTAAACATCAATGGTTGGGAGAAATGAGCTTCCACACCTCTACAACACCTTGAAGAACAAAGAAAAACTATAAAACTAGTTATGAACTAATGAATTAAATTGAGATTGGATCATGAATTTGGGATGAGTTGGAGGGTTTATATAGGCTTGAAAATGATCTTTGATGGTCTATTCATGATGCTCAATCAACTTGGAGCGAAATTTCAGAGCCATACCTTCCAAATATTTTCAAATCAACTCAAAATATTCAAGCACGTCGTCTGGTTTTCTGCACATTTGGGGTAACCGGCGCCGGTTTGGGGTTAACCGGCGCCGGTTGTGTTTCGGCAATTCCGGCGTCATAATTTTTACAAGCAACCGGCGCCGGTTTTGTGCAATTCCGGCACCGGTTTTGTCCTGGGATTTTGGGGATGTTCCGCTACGAATTTGGACATAATGTTTTCACCAAATTTGTAGATAATGAAGTCTTCTATCCACCAAAACTTGAATGACGTGATTTTATTCATCCAATCAAAAGATATGGATAAAACATTGAGAGGTATGTATCCTGAAATTCCACCAGCAACATCTGACTTTATTGGTTGATTGAGTCTTGATCCTTTCATATTCTGGCCATGACGTATTCATAACATTTGTACCTTATTGAGTTGACATTCAACTGTGGAGGATTGGATAACCGTTCATCGCGATGTTTTATGCTCCAGTTCTCATTCTGAAGGTATTTGTCTGATTTCTCTCCTTTTCTTCAACAAATACTTATAAATACTTATGTTAAACACAAGTAAATATAATGGCTATCCAATCCCCCACAGTTGAGCATTGCTTGTCCTCAAGCAATTTCTATGTAATGATGCACAACTAGAAAAAAAACTAAACCATTCAAATTAAAATTTAATAAGATGCTAAAATTAGATATAAATTCTTTATTCTTTCTCGGGCCAAAAAACTTTTTCTATTTACTCACAATAAATGTATTTAAGATTAAGAAAAATAAATAAACACCTGATGCGTTTATTTTGTGACAATTTGGGTAATGTGTGGCATTTGCGGTTCATAAAAGCTCAACCATTAAATCGATTGCCCCACTTTAATGAGTTGCCTTTTGTGAACCATACAAGTATACATAATACAAATGGGTACCCAAAATGGGGTATTTGTAGTGTTTTCAAAGAAAAAAAGTGTTACTAATGGAAAGGAGGAGTTAATAATGGAAAGGAGTAATTAAAATTTGAAAATACTGTTTTTTTGGGAAACTCAAATTACTTAAGCGCAATCTATGTAAATCAGGAGATGGTTGGAACCTTTCTCTTCCCCGAATCAGTTTTCTTGTTCTCCAGGACAGTTTAAAAACTTGCACTAAGTAGGCAGATGATCGAATCTATAGTAGACTAGGTTCAATTAGAGAGCGAGCGGGAGCTGGGGTCATTGAAAATGTCCAAGAAAGATGCTACTAGGAGAGAACTGTTGGATCGATGGAGAGGCATCGAAGAGGAAGAAGATGATGGTGACGGCGACTTTAATGACCTTAAGCGCCGTCGTCTTCACCAGCTTAAAGAAGAGTGGTTTGTTGCCTATTTCCACCCATTACATTAATTTGTGAATTCAACATTCTGCCATTTAGCAACTTTACATTTTTATTTTAGGCACCCTCCCCCACAAACGCCCGCGCGCGCACACCCACATATGTGTGTGTGTGTGTGTGAAAAGACAGTATTAACGCAATCTGTATTCACTCTAAATTCAGTAGGAGATACACAGAGGCAAATATAAATTTAGCGCTCAATGACAGTAATATGGTATTGATAATCGAACTTACAACACTGAGGTATTAACATTGACTTCTGATTCATGTGTCTGGGAATAATTCATAACAATGAGCCTAAAAAAGTTCGACTTTAGGCAGTGGAACGTCGTTGAGACTGTCAACATATGATTGCTTAATTGTGTGTTAACATTTTGAAATTTTGGAAATGGAGCTCATGTGACAGGGTCTTCTAGATACAACAACAACATCCAAGCCTTAGTCCCAAAAGATATTGGGGTCGCCTAACATGAATCGATACATGATATCACAACCAAAAGGAAAAGAAGGAATAAAGATACAAAGATAAGCTATTATGAAAAGATAATATAAAAAAGATGACTATATATAAAAATGATAAAATAAAAAGGCTGCAAATAATGCATATATATATACAAGGATAAAAAAAAACTAGGAAAAAAAAAGATGAGGGAAAAAGATTATCAAGATCACTCCTTCACGTGAATACCCACCCTCCACTTAGTTCTCTCCAAAGTCATGCCCTCATCCAACCCCAGAAGAAGCATATCACTTCGAACTCCCCTAACCCACGTCTGTTTGGATCTTCCTCTCCCTCTCTTCCCTGCCTCTTCTCCACACATCTCAACTCGCCTAACAGGTGCATCACTCGGTCTTCTACGCACATGACCAAACCACCGTAGGCGCGACTCCCGCATCTTGTCTTCAATAGGTGCTACTCCCACCCTTTGTCTGATTGTCTCATTCCTCACGCGGTCCTTCCTAGTATGCCCACACATCCAACGCAGCATGCGCATCTCTGCCACACTCATCTTTTGAATGTGACATTGTTTCACCGCCCAACACTCTACGCCATACAGTAATGCAGGCCTAATTGCTGTCCTTTAAAATTTACCCTTCAGTCTAGTCGGCATACCTCGGTCGCACAGAAATCCTGACGCACTCTTCCACTTCATCCACCCTGTTCTGATTCTATGGGATACATCTCCATCTAACTCACCGTCCTTCTGAATTATGGAGCCCAAGTAACGGAACATATCGCTGACTGGTATCTCCTTACCATCCAGAGTAATTCCGCTATTACCACTACTTCTACCTCCACCAAACTTGCACTCCATGTACTCTGTCTTGCTCTGACTTAGTTTGAAACCCTTATTCTCCAATGTTTGTCGCCATACTTCCAACTTTGCTTTAAGACCTGATTGCGTCTCATCAATCAATACAATATCGTCGGCAAACATCATGCACCACGGTATATCGTCTTGAATTGACTTCGTAAGTTCATCCATGACTATGGCAAATAAGAAAGGACTCAAGGCCGATCCTTGGTGCACTCCGATAGTAATAGGGAACTCTTCAGTCCTCCCTACACTAGTACGAACACTTGTAGTACAATCCTCATACATATCCATGATGATGCTGATATACTTGCGTGATATGTCTTTCCTAGTTAAGGCCCACCAAAGAACTTCTCGAGGTACCCTATCATATGCCTTTTCTAAGTCAATGAACACCAAATGCAGATCCTTATGAGCATCTCTATACTTCTCCATAAGTTGACGAAGAAGGTGAATAGCCTCAGTTGTTGAGCGACCAGGCATAAAACCGAATTGATTCTCTGAAATCTTCACAGTCCTTCGAAGTCTTTGCTCAATCACTCGCTCCCAAAGTTTCATGGTGTGACTCATAAGCTTAATCCCTCGATAGTTGGCACATTCTTGTACATCACCTTTATTCTTAAATAAAGGGATAAGAGTACTCTTCCTCCAACTCGTTGGCATCTTGTTGTTTCTCCAAATCATGTTGAAGAAACTTGTTAACCACTCGACGCCTCTCTCTCCCAAACTTCTCCAAGCCTCGATCGGTATGCCATCTGGCCCCATTGCTCTTTTCCGTCCCATCTTCCTCAGAGCTTCTTTAACTTCCGTTGTTTGGATCCTTCTCACAAAATCACGGTTTACCATACAATCTGGTATGGACAAATCACCGATATCTTGCGTTTTGTTCCCGTTGAATAGTGTATCAAAGTATGACCTCCACCTCTCTTTTATCTCTCCGTCGTCCATTAATATCCTCTGATCAACATCCTTCACACACTTAACTTTTGCAATATCTTGAGTTCTGCGATCACGAAGACGAGGAAGTCTATAAATATCTAGTTCTCCTTCCTTAGAGTCCAACTTTTCATACAACTCCTTGTTCACTTTCCCTCGTGCTTCCCTTACGGCTTTCTTTGCTTGTCTTTTAGCCTCCCTGTATGCTTCTATGTTCTCATCACTCCAATTTGTCCCCAACTTTTTGTAACAATCTCTTTTGTTCCTTATGGCTTGTTTCACCTCATCATTCCACCAAGATGTGTCCTTTTTAGGTGGCCGACATCCTTTAGATTCTCCAAGTACCTCCTTTGCCACTTTGTTAATGGTCAACTCCATTGATAACCACACATCATCCACCTGTGTTTCATTATCAATACGCCATACATCTTCACCGACCATTTTGTGTGTAAAGCTTTGTTGAAGATCTCCCTCTAGCCTCCACCACTTTATCTTTGGCTCCACTTGTTGTTTAACTTGTCTTCCATGGTTCTTACCTCGAAAGTCAAGCACAAGCATCCTATGCTGAGTGACAACACTCTCACCTGGAATAACCTTACAATCAGTGTAGCTAGTTCTCCCAGTGGTCCGTACTAAGAAATAGTCGATTTGGGTACTATTAGCTCCACTTTTATAGGTTACAAGGTGAGAGTCTCTTTTCTTAAACCAAGTGTTCATTATAGCCAACTCATACGTCAAGGCAAAATCCAAAATGTTCTTTCCCGCCTCATTCCTAGTGCCAAAACCATGTCCGCCATGAATATTCTCAAAGCCATCACGACTCGAGCCCACATGCCCGTTGAGGTCACCTCCTATGATCAACTTCTCTCCCCTTGGCACTCGTCGCACCACGTCTTCAAGATCTTCCCAGAACTGTTGAGTTGTAGATGCATCCAATCCCACTTGTGGTGCATAGGCACTTACCACAGACACAATCTCACCTCTTATCACCAATTTAATGCTCATGATGCGATCGTTCTTCCTGAAGACTTCTACCACATCCTCAACATGGTCACGCGCCACAATAATGCCTACCCCATTTCTAGTCTTATCTCTCCCCGAATACCACAACTTAAAACCTCCGGGATTAATCTCGCGTGCTCTCTCTCCAACCCATTTAGTTTCTTGCACACACATAATGCTGCTATTCCTTTTGCTCATAACCTCGACTACCTCGGAAGATTTCCCCGTAAGAGACCCAACATTCCATGTCCCAAAACGCAATCTAGCATTCCACCTTCTGTTCTTAGCCCTATCTCGGACCCCACCATGCCCTTGCATATTTGACATCATCCCCGGGCAATGGGATGACGCGCCGCTTCTGGGCGGCGACCTAGCAACCATAACATTCTTATCACCACACCCAGGTCTATCAAGTGTAGCGCGCCCTTACATATTTGACACCACCCCCAGGCGGAGGGATGACGCGTCACTTACGGGTGACGCGTCACTTACGGGTGACAGGGTCTTCTAGATACAAAGAAAAAATAAAGCCGGAATATCCTCAATGCTTATTGAACTTGATTAGTTAAAATGAACATCACAACAAATGACATCATGATATTATGGACTCGTTAGTAGATGAAATGGATGGCAAGTTATGGTACGGAGAATGCGTGTTGTTTTCAACTTGTTCATGGATTTTGATGCAAGTGAACTTACTTTAATGTGCGCGCAGATCCTTTAACTATATTTTATTTTGAGCTGATGGAATTTCCGTGCACTACTTTTCCTATTTATTTTAGCTTGTACCATATTTGATGCTTGACATGTAGGTTTTCAGATGCATTCCGCCTCCTGATCCACTTGCCAAAAGGGATACATATTTGGTGTGGTTCTTGGGACCTGATGGGTCCTCTACTGGAGACATTCTACAATTACTATAAAAATGAGCGTAAGGATTCTCCTCTAAAGGCTCTCTGGAGTAGAGCTTCAGAAGAGATGCGCCATTGTACTCAATGTATTTGTCAGTACCATCAAGCCCAAGATATGTATAGCACAGAGTATGAGTCAAGTTCGATAGGTCCTCTTCTTGATGTATTGCACACTCTTGATGAAGAAAGAATAAGTCAGCACCTACGAGAGATTAATGCAAGAATAGCTTGCGGAGAATCTGATTTGGGGAGTGACAATGGTGACATTGTGTGTGTCATGTTTGAGGTATTTTCTGCTTTTCTTTCTTGATATAAACTAATAACACTAAGTTGTTCTGCTCTCTTATATGGCTTAATATTATTTACGTAGTATGTTTTACCTCATTATATTTATATATAATATATACTTGGTAGCAATGTTCGAAATTGCGTATTGTGTAAACAAGGTATTTTTTAGGTATTGTGTAAGCCTCATGGCGGATTGAGGCGTAACCATGAGGCCTAAATCTTAATATATAGGAAAATTGTGTATAAATATAGAAGTAACCAGAAATAAATATTAATCCAAAATAATGCATTTCATAAAGAAACCAACAATAATGTCATAAAGTAATGGAAACTGTGGTGATGTTTAAACCTACTAATCCCTCATGTCGTTTGCTTATTGCAATATTTTAATCTAACAAACTTGTATGATTTCCCTTGTAGTCTCACTTCTTTTACTTCGAACCTGTGTTCTCAAGCCCAGTGAAACATATCCATCACAAACACATGTACCTTATTGCAAGAACATCTTATTTTGCAAATTATATTAAAAGTATACCATTAATACTTAGCAATACAAAATTTCTAATATATAATTAAATTTAGCAAAATAAGCAAAGTAAATTATATTACAAATGATTTGAACATCATAATGCAAATTATAGATACCAATGTTATGAAGTATAATTTAATGTTGCAAATATAATTATATACACTTTGATATACTTAAATTTCTATGGAAAATAAAATTTAAGACACCTTGAGGTAATTTACATTTACAATATTAATTTTATATACATTTTTATAATTAAATTTCTATGAAAAGTAAAGCTTTTACAAATTTACCAACAGCCCTAGAAATCAACATGGCGGATGAAATACAAAGGAAAGCATTAATTGAATAAAAACAAATAAAAACCTTAAAGATTTCTAAATAATTTAAATAATGCAGAAATCCGGACTCCAGAGCATATAATTTTATTCTGGGACAGATGAAAAAGAAAAGCAGAACCATTTTCAGGGATGGAGTTAGTATTATTTAGCCAATCCATTGATGACTCTATATGTAAAAGGGATGACATGAAATGCCTTTGGAATACTGTTGTAAGACTATTTCGTATTACACACTGTTTACTTTGGAGGGGGCTTATGTTGTTCTCCAGATTACTTATGCTGGCCGTACTCTTGATAACAGGTTTTGATGTTTCCCATCTTGTTAGATGATGATTCTTTAACAAATGAATTTCAAAAGTTTATTGAGGCGATTGATGACTCTCATGAATTGACCCTGGGTGGCCACCAACAATATCCGGTGTGCCTCACCTTTGTTCCTGTTTTTTGTTTAGTTATTAAACCTTGCGTGCTTTAATCATCATTGTTTCTAAGTATTTTTTATTCTTTTTAGGGTGTTTATGCTTTACTTTTTTGTAAAAGTCGGAGATCACGTTCTATTGGTTTCCGGTTGGCAGGACAAATGAATAGATTGAGGTACTGTTTGTGTTATGTTGTGAAGATAATCAAGATATGGTGCAGTCTCTGGTTTTGCTCATATTGCTGCTATGGTGCTACTTTTCCTTACTAATCATGAATTTACATATCTTTAGGCATTTATCATCAAGGGTTTGATCAACAGACCTGCGTGTATATTGCTTACTATGTAGTGAATGCTATATTCACGTTTGAGTGTTATGGTTCAGCTTGGTATTTGGAATCTTATGATGTTTTTTTTATGTTGATATTACCTCTGTTTGAATCATTGGTTTGAAGTTGCAAGTGTTGACGTTTACCTTTATCCAGTAATGTGCGTCACTATTGTTGCTATTATTATTCTTTTGAATGATGTGGATGTATTATTGATGATGGAGTTGTCTAACCACGGCCTTGTCAAATGCCATTACTGCCATGGTGGATAAAGCTAAATGAAAATGCTTGATACTTCGAAAATATTAGAGTTAATGAGTAAAGATATTAGGGTTAACTGATTAAGTAGTGATAGCTCATTTTGCGCTATGCTCTATTAGGCACCATTTTTTGAAGAACTCACCTAGCTTCACTTAAAACACACATAACCCCCTATTAATTATTGATTAGGCACTACCCCCAGCCTGCCGGCTAGTTAGCACCTAGCACCTGTTACAACTTACAACATCGGGACATGGTTCCTCATCTCTTAAATGATGTGAAAGGTGGAAAACTGGACATGCTTACTCTTCTACTATATGCTTAGCTATTTTTACATTGCATAGCTATATGTGATAAGTATAGTGGGATTTACAGCTTTGGGGCAAAATAGTAGTACTTCCTCACCTTTCTCCATACAAAATGGGCAAACCAAAGAAATGTAAGATAGTGAGGGAGATCTAGAAAGAAAACCGTCACCGTCAACATTGCATGATGACAGTAGCCTAGTAATAGAACATGCATGTATTGTCGTCATCTTAATGATATGTTTAGTACTCTAATTATACACCCTTCTAGGCTTTAAATGAATAAAAGATGTTTAGGTTCAGCCGTTCAGTACTGATTGTTTATGTTGCCGATATAGATATTAAGTATTGTAGATTTGTTTTTCCTTGAGCTTTTTTTACAACTTACAGTGAATGTCATTTATAAAATGTACAACTTTTGTATCTCTACTCAAGTGTTTATACTAGTCAAGCTTAAGCTTAAGCTAGTACAGTGCTGCACCACCCCTCCAGCATTATGAATATTTTATGGGTGTTAAGTGCTTCTATTCCACCAACTTTATATTATAATGAGCTACTTTTTCTTTTCTTATAATATTCCTAGTGGCACTTACAATTCTTATATTGTGAAGCCATTTTGAAATGGGAAATGGTTGACTCAATGTCTGTACCTAATTTCTTGTATTAGATTAAATGTTCTATTAGTACACACATGCAATGTATTTATATTTGCATGTCTCCTGAATTTACTTAAAATGTGGAATTGGCAAGAGATCTTGAAAAGGCCCAACCTGTGTATTAATTGCTTTCCCACTATACTATTAACACTTGCTAAGTGTATATTTATAGGCAATCAGTTGAGTTGGATCCTTTACAGCCTTTGTTGAAGCGATACATTAATTTCTTGGAGTCTGAAGATGCCTCGACTGCTCCTCTGAATTCTAGGCCTAGGGTCCATCTGGAACGGCTAACTGTATGGCTTGGAATCAAAACACTGTAGGAAGCAGCTTGTATTTTGCCGCTGCATTTAGTAGTTATCTGTATTTTTCTTCTTAGAATTAATGATCTTTCTTCTATGTGAAGGCTTGGGTTCTTAGAACCTCCTGCTTTTGAAGAAGGGATTTTAGATCGATATCCCATATTCCTCAGTCTTGTTCTCAACCATATTAGTGACGATTCTCCTGAATTTTCCTGTGCAGTTAATTGTTTGAGATTACTTTTTGAAATGCTTGGTATGTACTTATTTGTTACATTTTTCCTTTTCAAATTACTTAATGAGATGTTAATTGCTGATTTGTTTTAAATCTGTTTTATGCAAAGGCTATAAGCTTTGGTTGAGGACAACACTCTCTCCAGGTGTAATGAGGAATACATTACTGGGTCAATCTTTCCACACTCGAAATGAGAAGAGCCACAAAGAAATTTTTGATCTTTTCCAGCCATTTCTTCAGGTAAATTACCATTATACTTTTAAGACGTGAAGGGATTTATGACTTTTGTAATAGCCACAGTTGTTTTTAGTTGTTTCTGCTGTCTGGGCAGTCTGGCATATGTTATGTCTTGTTTTATACGATTTTAAATTTCTGCTTCAGTCTCTTGAAGCTTTACAAGATGGAGAGCATGAAAAGCAACGGAGACATTTCCTTTACTTTCTTCTACATCAGGTGTCTGTGAGCAGCAACTTCAGTATACTAATGAGGAAAAAGGCCTGTCAGGTTGATGTCTCATCCTGTATATAAAGTGTGCATTTTCCCCATGCTTTCCTACTATTTGTTGTGAGTTTGTACATTTGGCAGATAGCTTTGCTCATTGTTCACCGAGGTTACAAGATGAATCCACCTAGCCCGCCTTATGAATGTGCACATATGTGGTGTGTACTCTGATCCTCAAGTTCTTTAAGAGCGCTTGTCATAAATTCTGTATTGTTGCTTCAGCATATCTTCATCTTTGATGATCCAGGTGTCCTTGTTTAGTGCATAATTTATAGACATCATAATGGGATATTCAACAGTGTAGCATGACTTTCTTTATGTGATATGGATCATGTACATGCATGATAGATCATACAATATCGAACACTATAATATCAATGAACAACACACAGAACACACATTTTATTCATCCAACCACAGTATACAAGCTTTAGACAATTCGAGATGTCCAATCTCCTAGTTCAGTTCTAGCCAAAATCCAACCTACTTCTGCTAGCTCAACACTGCTATTTATAGTAAAGGTCCACGCAGGGACAACTGACTAACTAACTAACCCGTTAGTTATTAGTAACAATCTTATTACTTCTTCTTTTATACACTTTATTATAAAATTCTACCGGTTGCCTTGATGCATGTCTAACAATGCATTAACTTGTACTGCACATGGCACATAGCTTTGAATCTCACTTTGTTTCAATGGAAGTTTGAAACAAATCCATAAGTACTTGCATAAAACACAGGGAACATGTATGTATGACTAAATTTTTCAACATACATCTCAGCATTAAAGTTAGTATTACCTAACAAAATAAGAAAGAAAAGATAATAACACTTCTGGTCTCAAACCATCAAATAAGCTTTATTTGATGCTTTGTACCAGTTTTTGATGGTTTGGCACTTTGGTGACCTGATGTGTGTTCAGGACAATAATGTTTTAACCTCCATGTTTATTTGCAGGGGACCATCACTCGTGTCCTTTTTAAAGGATATGTCACTGCACATTTCTCTTCGACAACCTGCCTTTGATCTTATACAAACCATTATAGTATCTGATGCTTCAGCCATGGCAGCTTCAGTTCTCAACTGTCAGCTGCAGATAAAAAATGGAAGAGACATGCATGCGAGTTTTGATGATGATGATGAAGGGCAATTGTTAGAATATGATATTGAAGGAAAGGATGCCAGTTGCTGGAATGAATTCTTTTTGCAGGCCAAAATGACATCAAGTTTATATGGAAGCTGGATGTGCATCCCAATGTTATGGTTTGAGGTTTTAGTTGAGACTGATCCTCTAATTCTTCCAATATCATTTTCCAAGGCAGTCTTTTGGGCCCTATCTCGCCTTGTAATGGTAGAACCTGAAAACAACTCAGATAGGTCACTATCACTTGGGGATTGGTTGAAAACCTGTGCTTCAGAAATCTCTAATGCTTTTAGTTGGAAAGAACCGTCCGGCTCCAATGATGGAGGAAACGGTATGGTATCAAAGAATTCTGTTAATGTCTCAACACTGTATAAACCACTACTGAGGACATTCAAGAGGTTTGCCACTTAATCCTGTTGTAGCATGCTGTTAATGTTTCATTTTTGCTGTCGATGATTGGACATGCTTACTATCTTTATTAACTTTATTGATCATTTTGTTAATTAAAGTTTGTGCTCAAGATTTATTGCTTATTGTGATTTTCAGATTCACTGCCCATTATATTGTTAGAATGGAGCAGGGAGAGCTAAGGAAGCAGTGGACCTGGGAACCCATGATGGGAAACAGCATAATACTCATGCTTGTGGAACCCAATGATGTAATATTGTCTTCACTTGTGTTGAAGTGAAATGTTTCCTCTCTACATCCTCGAGGTTTAACTGATCATCATAATTACCTGATTGCTGCAGAATGCCAGACACGTAGCTAGATGTATTCTTGAACAGGTCTCAGATACACAAGGTCTAACTTGTGGACTCCAGTTTCTCTGCTCTAGCCCATCTTCACTCTCGGCCATTTTTATAGGGTTAAGACATGCTTTGAAGCTGGTAAGATCCGGTGAAGGAATTATATTACTCTTTGTCTGTGTTCTTGTGAGTGCATAAAATATCCTGAACAGAGGATGCGGATGGAAATTATTTATTTGCTTAAACAACACAACAACATTATCCCAGTGCCGCAAAAGCTCCCACCTACGGTGAGGTAAGGGAGGGGGGGTCGGATGTACGCAGCCTGACCCCTGTACTAAAGCACATAGAGACGGTTTCCGGATGACCCAAAGTGAAAATCGTGTAAAAAATTGCATAGACTGATTGCTGCTTCATAATAAAGAAGCGCACAGTTTAGTGAGCCATTTTGCTTTATTACATCATATTTCCAAACCAAAAAATAGTGAGTCTTTGGCTCCATTGGAAATGATGGAAGTGAAATATGTTGGGATTTTTGTAAATAAGTAGGAATTAACAAAGAATGCTCTGACATTGTACTCCGTAGTTAATATATCCAAGTATGAAGTGTTTGATCTAGCAATAGAAATTTCATCATGCTATGCCTTGAAGTGCGCAATTCATGTAAGAGTGCACCTGTGCATCATGTCTGAACAATCTTCTGAACAAATCATATACGCACTGGCGCGCACACACACACAGAATAAAGTAATCTGAGTATGTTAACTGTAATCTTGTGCTGTGATATTCTTTTATTAGCCGCTGACAAGTTATTTGGATGTTTTTCAGGTGCAACTGGAGAGCGTCCTGTCTGACTTTCAGTCTTTGCATCATTTCTTTTTTGTTCTTTCCAAACTATTAAAAGAAGGGAATTCAGCCAAATTTGTATCAGAAATGTGTAATGTATCAAACTTCTCTTCCCAAGGGGGATTTTTAAAGCAGCCAGTTTTTGCTAAACAACCTGGTAATGTGATTGAAGATACATCAGTTGTTAGCGATGCTTTATGGGAGAAGTTCTGTTATCTACTATCAGAAATTGCATGGCCTGCAATTGGGAAATGCTTAGAAGAAGGAAAGGCAAAATTGGATCACAAAGTATCTCATGTATGGAAATTGTATTATCATTGTGAAGTATTAAATCACTTCACTTTCCTTTTTTTTTGCAGCATGCATGTTTTGTTTTGTTCTTTTACTGATGAGTTTTTCTCCTTGAATAATGAATAACTCAAGAGTATGAATAATGGACAGTGAACATGAAAACGGGACTGAATGGGGCCTAGTTCATATTCGGGGTGGAGTGTAAGAGGGAAGGCAATTCTTGAGCATATAAAGAGATCCAATAAATTCCAAATAATTGAACGAGGAGCCGTATGAGGTGAAAATCTCACGTACGGTTCTGTAGAGTGGCAGTAAGAGTGACTTATCTGTCAACTTTTACACTATCACCCCCAAAATACCAAACTCTGCCTTACGTAAAGTTGCCAAAACTCAGAGTATGCTTTATGCTTCTGAACTTGAAGAACTTACAATTGAGGTTGCATTGTACCACAAACAATAAATCAAATGCAAAATGAAAACAGTATTTATCTGGTTTTCGTGTTGTTAGTGCTGAAAATTCATTTTAAAAAATAGAATTGCCAATGATGTGGTTATTGACTTGTGACGGGTGGCTGGTCATTGGACATTGCTATGTTATCCATACCCTGTTAACTAAACAATGCACTGTAGTAGAAGTCCTGGATAAAGTTTGTTCAGAGAAAAAAAATTAGTGACAGCTTAGGAACTCTTTCTGTGAGAATGCCACTAATTATGTGATTTTATTGCTTTGATTTTTCTCTCTATGAATCAGATGACCTGCATCAGAGTGTTAGAGATTCTTCCAGTTATTCTTGAAAAGTTTCATGGAAATTTGGCCGATGTTTTCAGCAATTCTAGCAGTTTAAAATGGATCTATGATTTGATCGACTGGGGTAAGTCCCCCCTTCCAGTGGTGGCCAGATATTGGAAACAAACTTTTATTTCATTGCTGGGACTGTTAAAAGAGTTCTGCAATGGGATCTCTGCTTCGGCAGTTGTGGATATTGAGAAACTTATTTCATGTGGTGAGTTACTTTATTTTGTCATTCCTAACTTTCATTCTTGTCGTTCCTGTTTGTGATTTACTTCGTTAATGTAGTTAAGTTTTAACTGAATATTAATGTATTATGTTGGTGAAACAGATAGCATTCCAATTGAAGGACTTACTGATCAAGTTGCACGCCTTTCTGTATCATTAATAAATAACGATTCCACTTGCATTAAGAGAACAAGTATGGGCTTTGACCAATCTTCAAAATTGAAACCAACTGTTAGTTGCTCAGCAGCTAGTGCACACACTTCTATGGGTGCTGAGAAATTGCATTTTTCTGATTCAAATGTATGTATTGGGAAGGAGCGAGGTGAGTTGGTAGATCTTTGTGATGATGAGAATGAGCCAGGAACTTCTATGAGCCCTAAATATCCTTCTTCCAAAAAATTGTCAGTAAATAGTGATTGCTTGGCTGGAGATGCACACATGTCTTATATGGATGTTAAGAAATTGCATCACTCAGACTCAGATGTAATGGCTGGCAAGGAAGGAGGTAATGTGATAGTTCTTTCAGATGATGAGAATCAGTCAGAAACTTCTGTAAGAAAGGTTGTTTCTCATTTTGGATCAAATCAAACTTCGCTTGCTGACAAAGCTGGAAAAGAGTTGCATTCTGATAGTGTAAGGACAACCAATTCTACAAACGATAATGTTATAAATCCTGTAGTAGTTTCTAATAATGTGCTTGATTCAAACATGATGGAAGGCAGGACAACTGCTCCCATCAAGTCAAAGGTTATTCAAGAAAAGAGAAATGCTGTTGATTCAAATATCAATTCAAAAGAAAATGTTACATTGATGACCCATCACAGTTTTCGGAAAGATTCGTCTAATGAAAGAATGGTTCTCAAAACCAAGGATCAGAGAGGAAATAACAAGGCCATAGAACCAGGTGTTAAAGTTCTACAAGAGCTTGTACATGATAGTGGAAATGATTTTGAGTTTGCTTATCCCAAACCTACTAGGGGCCGACAGACATTAACAACAAACACATGTATTTCTGGTCCTAAACGGCAAGTCATTCAGCTCAATTTTCCTGTGAAAAACAAAGACAGTTTATCGAAAGCAGATAGTGGAGTGAAAAGGTTTACATCTGCAAGGCTTGATGACTGGTTTAAACTTATTTTGGAGTTGAATTTTTTTGAAACAGTAGGGTTATCAGTGACAAGTAACAAGGACAACCAAAGTTTAAGCAATCTAAAGCAGGTACCTGTTTGCTTTGGATCAGCTCAAGAATACATTGATATTTTTCGGCCATTATTGGTTGAGGAATTTAAAGCACAATTGCTTAGTTCATTTCAAGAGGCAAGTTCAGTTGAAGAGATGTTTTGTGGAAGTTTGTCTATAATGTCTGTCGAGAGAATTGATGATTTTCATATGATCCGCTGTGTCCATGAGGATTTTGGTAATAATGGATCTAGAAGCTGCTCAGAAAATGACCTTATTTTGCTTACAAGGCAACCACTGCAAGATTCTCCTCCTGATGCTCATATGGTTGGCAAGGTTGTCTATTGACTATATTTATTCTCATCTGAATTGTTTTTAGCTGTTCTGTAGCTTTAAGTTTTGTGAACTAGGCCAGAGCGATACTGTGGGCCGCATTCAAAATTTGAAACTATTATTAGATTTACAATCATTTATGCCATTATTCATTGAGGAGTCATGTGCCTTCTTGTAAGGTGGTCTGCATCTAGGAGACATGCACTATGTGTTAGTTGAATCTGGTGTGTTTGTTGTCTTAATTTTCATCTTTTCCTTGCCCGTTACAGTTTGTTCATCTTTCAGATACTGATTATTTAGATAGTCCCTATTGAATGTTGACATCTCTTTGCAATGGTCAATATTTAACAGGTCCATTGCAGCTTTGTCACTTCAATGCATTGCATCAATAACACTGGTGTATAAATGACTTTTTTTATAAAAATTCTTACTCACTATTATAATTTATTTTCTCTGATTTGCAAACTGTTAATTATATTATTTATTTATTTGTACTTTAGGCTGTTGAACGACATATTTGATTTGTGAACTAATCTAGTTATATCCTCATGTACAATTTTTATATATATAAAACAATACATGATATTGGCCATCATGTTTGCTGCACTGTGCTATCTATTATAAGGTGGAGAGGTCTGAAAGGGATAATAAAAAAGGATCAAGTATAGTTGTTGTCAGGTTGTATCTTCAAAACAAAGCTTCTCATATCAACAAGGCAAGAAAGCTTCTATTCGAACGCAGCAAATGGTGCATCAGTCGCTTGATGAGTATTACACCTCAACTAAGAGAGTTTCAAGCATTGTCATCAATAAAAGAGATCCCTCTGCAAGCTGTTATCTTGAACCCCACCAGTCATGGGCACAGTCAAAAGTGCAGTAATAATTTAAGTAAACTGACACAAAAATTATGTCAAGTCCTTAAAACGGAATACAATGAGAGTCAACTGGAAGCCATCAATTCTGCCGTTGGGCCTTTTGACCCAAAAAAGGATTTTGAGTTGTCTCTCATACAGGGCCCTCCTGGTATGATGTCTGTATCCGGCTACAATTTTTGGTTCTCACATTTTTTTGGCTTATTTCAGCATTGATTTTTGTCGTCACTTCTGCACCTTAAACTTATCTGAAAACTATTTACCTCTTTTGCCTTTAAGGTACTGGGAAGACCAAAACTATTCTGGCCATTGTCAGTGGTTTGCTCTCCTTTTGTAAGATGAAAGGAAACACAACACCTACAAGTGCTGTGCCGAAGGCCGCTAGTCTGTTTGGTGGCTCTTCAAGACCACAAGTTAGTATTGCTGTTGCAACTGCAAGGGCATGGCAGAATGCTGCCCTTGCTAGACAAATGCAAGACGATGTAGATAAGACCAAGAATAACATGGGAAGCTGCAGTAGAGGGCGGATCCTCATATGTGCACAATCTAATGCTGCAGTTGATGAGTTAGTTTCAAGGATAACCAGGGAAGGCATTCGTGATAGGGATGGAACTATGTACAAACCATATCTGGTCAGGGTTGGTAATGCAAGGACGATTAATCAAAATTCCATACCCTTCTTTATTGACACCCTGGTCGATAACCGCATGGCTGATGAGAAAATGAATATGAATGATGCAAGGAACAATGATACAAGTAAAGATAGAGTGTCATTTCTTCGTTCTAGCCTAGAGAAGTTAGCTGAAACCATCAGATCCTATGAAGCTAAGCGTGCTAACTTAGGACATGGAAATTCTGATTCAAAATCTCTGTTTGAAGTTGAGGCATGTAATGCAGATGCTATAAAGGAATTATCTGATGCTGAGCTTGAAGCAAAGCTGAGGGTTTTATATCAAAAAAAGAAAGAAATGAATACAGATCTTGCCACAATTTTGGCACGGGAGAGGAAAGCTAACGAAGAGTTTAAAGCTCTTAGGCATAAACTGAGGAAAGCTATCTTGAAGGAAGCAGAGATTATAGTCACTACTTTGAGTGGATGTGGTGGTGATTTATATGGGGTGTGTTCAGAATCTGTGTCTGGTCAAAGATTTAGAGGCTCATCGGAGAACGTTCTGTTTGATGCAGTTGTTGTGGATGAAGCTGCCCAGGTATGAACTTATGTTTCCAGTAACCCCCCCCTCCACTCCTAAAAAAGAATATTGCGATTTCTCTAACCATATTATCATATTCTGCTGCACGTACTGCATAGGCACTGGAACCCGCAGCACTGATTCCACTTCAGCTCTTAAAGTCAAAAGGAACCAGATGTGTTATGGTATGATGATTGCATTATCTATTTCACGATCATTAGAAGCCAGTAAGAATCATGAGTAAATGGCTTTTTGTGGTCTTGAAGGTTGGTGATCCTAAGCAGCTTCCTGGAACAGTTCTTTCCACTGTTGCTACAAAATATTTCTTCCAGTGTAGCATGTTTGAGCGCTTACAGAGGGCTGGACATCCCGTGGTTATGCTCACCAAGCAGGTGACATTAAATTCATTGAATAGAAGAGTCTTTGATGCTGCAGTTTGATGCTGCAGTTTAATGGAGTTCAATGAAATGAAATTGTGTGTGGTTTAGATTTAGTTAGAAAGGGGAAAATTATTATCAATAAAATAAATATTTTGGGAGGGACCAGAAAGGAAAGTGGATGATTAAAAAGGGCAGAGGGAGATTTGTTTGAGCATAAAATCATTACTGTGTAATGTTGTGTGGGTACTCCTCCATTCAATCATACCATTTGGTGTGGTTCAATAGTGTTTTTATTTGTTGCCTTTTCCTCTCTGATTTACAGTATAGGATGCATCCGGAGATATGCCATTTTCCGTCTTTGCACTTCTATAGTGGAAAGTTGATAAATGGAAATTCGATGTCCACAAAATCTGCACCCTTTCATGAAACAAGTGTTCTTGGGCCATACATATTCTTTGATGTTGTTGATGGCAATGAGCTCCACGGAAAGAATTCTGGTGCCATGTCTCTGTATAATGAGTGTGAGGCCAATGCTGCAGTTGAACTGTTACAGTTTTTCAAGAGGAGGTATATATCTTCCATCCATCTATATTGTTACTTAGTATTTGCATTATAATTAAATATTCCTTTTTGAATCTTTACTTAGGTATGCAACTGAGTTTGTTGGCGGAAGAATTGGCGTCATAACACCTTATAAGTCCCAGCTCTCTCTCTTGCGGTCACGGTTTTCCAACGCATTTGGAACTTCTGTCACAGCAGAAATGGAATTTAACACGGTGGATGGTTTTCAAGGACGAGAAGTTGATATACTTATATTTTCAACAGTTAGGGCAGCCAAAGCACGCCCCACTGATCAGGCTTACTCTTCCAATATTGGATTTGTTGCTGATGTGAGACGGATGAATGTTGCTTTAACAAGGGCAAAACTGTCTTTATGGATCTTAGGTAATGCAACTACATTGCAGACAAACCGAAGCTGGGATGCTCTAATAAAAGATGCAAAAGAAAGAAATTTGGTCATATCAGCCAGAAAGCCATACAGTTCTGTTTTCAAGTCAGCTCTAAAAGAAAACCGAGCATCAGAAACTCAAAAACATCCTAAAAAGGTAGAAAAAATGAATGAATGTACTCAGCGATCAGAGAAACTAAACAGTAGGTTTGAAAGGAAAAGAAGGCACACTGAAGCAGTTGAGGATAGTGATGTAAGAGCTTGCAAGCCTGCAGTTTCCAAAGTTGGAGAAGATCGAAGGCATGAGTCTCACAGTAAAAACAATGAGAGATCTAGCAAGCAAATACGCGATAAACATGATCGTGAGTCACTTAAGAAGGACCTAGTAGTGTCCACCGCAGTTGAAAATACTGATGGAAGAAATAGCAAGTATGCAGTTAGGAGAAATGAAGTCGATGCTAGTGGAATATGGGGGAAGAAGAAGACTTATGACACGCAGATTAATGAGGCAAAAGTTGATAGAAGCCTGAAAGAGAGGGACATCAGGAGCAGTTCTTTGGAGGATTTGGAAATAGTAAGGGGTAAAGAGCCTTTGGACAGTGGAAGCTTTACGCGATCAGATACAAAAGATGGCAAAGAAGTTAGGGCTCAAGCTGATAAAACCACAGTTTCAGAAAGGAAACAAAAACGGGATGCTGTGGAGGCACTTCTTTCTTCTTCACTTGAATCTTCTAACAAACCTAAATTTCCTGTCAAGCCAGTGCCTGCAAAAAGTAATTCTGCAGCAAAAACTGAACACCCTGAAACCAGACCACCAAAGACAAGAAAAGGTGAAAATCTCATAAGTGATTATTTTCCTGAAGATAGATTTGTACTTCAATCTCCTCCTTTCAGTGGGCTATCTGTATGGGGGGATTCAGTTAGGGTACCCTATTATAAACAGGTCCTTACCTGTTCATTAGAGGGTACCCTATTATGGGATTATGATAGGGGGTACAGTTAACATACATGCTCATGTACTACTAGGGTCTGGATGTCTGGCTCGGTTAGGATACAGGTAGTAAAGATATAAAATATATGCACATGCATCAATGCATGTGTATTTGCACACAACATTTTAAGATTTTAATTTATAGCTATGTTCAGAATTGTTTTTATAATTAAATGCTAATCGGGTTTGCGTACTAAAGGTGAAACTTTTTTTATACGGTTAGGCTCTGGGTAGTGCATTCTTTGGGTATCCCCTACTTTGTTACATCTCTAGACTGCCTTTCTGTTTTATCTCTTAATCTACTGCAACCATCCATCCACCAAAGTGAGAATGAGAACCCCACTATCTATTTGTGGCTTGCATGACTAGTAGAGATGCTCCCAGCCTTCGTTTTTGTCTTGTATTGTAAAAAGCATTTGTTTCTTGCTTCACTGATCATGTATTATATATTTATAGAAACGTCTAAAGCATCACTGAAAATCCAACTATACACACACACACAAACGCCTCCACATATTCTATCTAATAAAGGTTGATTTCTGCTTTCAGTGTAGGCAAGCCATCATCGGGAATCAATACAGTAACCTGTCAAAGAACAGTCTTCTTGAGTTGCCCCCTTGAATCAAAAGATACGCCATCCCTCTTGAGAGTACAAGTTTTGTTGCTGCCACACACGACATTTCTTTCTTAAAGAAAGAGAAGAAAAGAAAGGCCTGGCTGAAATTTGTAACTAGCTGGGGAAGTGTGTGGCACCCGCCCCTGGCCCAAAAAAATCAGAAATAGTTTGTATTACCAAACAGGAAATTGATTCCAATTCATTTTTGCACCCATAATGATTACCGTTTTTCAAAAATTGAAGTGTAAAATGAGTCAACCAGTGCCCTGTCTTAAATATAATGAAGCTTTCTGAAGTAAAAAACTGTCATGATAAACAATGTATGCTAAAGCACACAGAGCAATCGGATAGATATATGGTTCTCATGTTCTCCAATTATGTTTTTAATTTTATTTAGGAGTATTATATGATGGATCGGTATGTTATTGCGTATGTCTTCTTTAACCTGCGCATGGATCCTTTCTAGGTCTGTTTTGTGAGAATCAGATTTGTGTCGAGAGACAAATAAGGTATTTGAGGAGCTATAATGAATACCCAATGGGTGATTCAATTTATAGCCACGAATTTTCTTGATACAGTCACATTATTTAAATATAATTGATGTAATATTTCATTCTCGATTTTAACCTTCTTCATATCTTCATTATATCCATGATTGATACGGGTTTTGTCACTGCCCATATTTCCGGTCAAAATTATGGTTTGGATTTATGGTTTCCTATTACAAGTCATTGGTTAAATCCTGAGTAAAATGGTCACATGCTTATGAATTAAATTGATTAGTGACTCGTGTGAAATCGAAACATAAGAGATTCAAATTGAGCTTTTTGGTGTTCAAGGGCTCCAACTTCAAAGAGAATGAATCTAAGCACCACACCTGTAGATTAACCATCATTTTCTTCGTGAACCCCTAATATTAGGGGTGGACCCGGGCCGGATAGGGCCTGACCGGGCTTTTTTCTGGATTCTTGAGGCCAGGAACAGACCTAGATAGCTACCGGGTCCGGTTCGGGCCGGCTACTTTTTTTTTTAATTTTCAACACGGAGCAGAAGGGTTAGCAATGAATTAAATTCATAAGACAATCAAAACAAACAATTGCTCATTCAATAATTCAGACGAAAAACAAAAGACTTCCTCTCATGGATTAGATTTAGAAACAGAGCGAACGGAATTCCAGATGCCAGCAGCAGCTCCGGCTAATTGGGGGAAGAGCTGGACAAGTGCGCCAGAGGCCACCCCGATGGCGAGGCTCTGGGGATAGCTAGGTTTCGAGTCCAATTTCATATCCAGCCTAATCAATCTCGAGTTTATCGAATCCAGCTTTCTGGAAGTAGTGCCGGCAGCGCCGCCTTGATCTCGGGAAGTTACGGCCATCCCGAACAGCACCTTCTGGAGTTCGTCGATGACTTTCAGCGAAGCTTCTTCGGTTCCCATACCCTGGGCCTCGTAATGAGAAACCATCTCCTTTGGGCTCTTCATCTTTCTCACCTTCTTATTGTTCCCTTGCCCGCCGCCGAACGTCGGAGGCTCCATTCCAGTGTCAACCCCTGTTTCACGGTTTGGGATGCCTAAATCCTACGGAGTAAACGATACTGTTTGTAACTACGTATCGGAAAAAGGAAGGGCCGAGTGAACACACTATTGTTTGTAAAATGTAGGGGTGGGCGTGGTCATGTCCGGTCCAATATTTTACCGAATCCGTACCCGGATCGTTAGTATTGAAACGGTTCGGTCTGGTCTTAGACCTAAACCCGTTCGATTCGGTTTTATTTTCAAACGGTCCGATACCATGTATAGCAATACCAAACAATGTCACTTTTTTCGATAAATTAAAACTTAGTCATCATCCAAAAATCCACACAATTATCCAACCTCTGTCCTAAAAAACTTCAAAAAATTTGAACCATGATTTTGATTAGGGGTGGGAAAAACCAAACCGAAACCCAGAAACCGGCCCTGGCCCGGCCCGAATTATGATATCGGTCCGAGTTTTTTCTTTTTGACCGGCCCGAATAAAAAAAAACGGACCGAACCCGAAATTCAGGGCTCATTAACGGGTCCTAAAATCTATAACCTGTCCTCGACCGATAAAAACCCGAAACAATTAGCTTTAATATAAATCAATATAATATACCAATATAATTTATAAATTAATTCCTAATATATTATTATAATCATGATGGACGAAAAAATGACTTAATAACTTTTAGTGTCTACAAGTATGTTCAATTTATTTACCGCAATGACCGTGAAAACATATTTATAGTAACTTTAGTCACATTTTTATTCATAAATCTTTTTCATAACATTTTTAGAACACCTATATTATTTGTTTTTATGCATCTTAAACAAAATATTATGATAATTGTCTTCTTTGGATTTGAATTCTTGGTGATTTTGGAGACTAATATTTGTGCTTTTTATTAATTTTATTTGCGGTTTGTACTTTTTATTAATTTAATTTGAAAATAGATTTTAAAATATAAAAGAAAAATGAGTGATTTCACATTCGGGCTTTAACCGGCCCAACCCGAACCCGGACCGAACCGGACTACAAAAATCCCGACTCGGAACGAATATAGTGGGCTTTGTTTCAGTCCCTATTTTTCATAACCCGACACCTTACAACTAATTTCCGGGTTTAGCCAAAACCTGATCCGGACCGGACCGACTCCCCCCCCCCTAATTTTGATTAGTATAGAGTATTGTGGAAGTTATAAATTTTATACTTTTATGAAAGTATTTTTAACAAAGAACATTTTCATATAATTTTTATATTATAAATAATTCTCAATAAAAATATAATTGGTCAAAGTTTTGAAAGTAGAAAAGTTTTTTGGGACAGAGGTAGTATTATATTGTTAGTTAATTAAAAAACATAAACAACTAACAATAACATAGTTAATGAATTTCATATAATACTATTCATTTTTACCGATCCGGTTAACTAGCAATTAGCAAAGTGCAAATGAGTAATCAAAGTAATTAGTGGTAATATGGTATACATGTATATATAATTATAAAATTATATAAATTAATAAAACTATAATTCGGTTCGGTCCGGTACCGGTTCTCATTTTATGAGAACCGATCATGGCATGGTTTGGAATCGGTCCGGTCCGGTTCGGGACAAAATTTTTGAGAACCGTTTGAAATCCCATTTTCCGGTCCAGTACCATACCGGTCCGGTTCGATACCATGCCGGTTCGGTTATTTTGCCCACCTTAGTAAAATGGAAGGGTCGAGTATTTGGTTGCACTTTTGATTGATTTGAGTTTGATCAATTTTTCGGTCCGTTTTGGTTTATCCATTTTTTGTTCATCCTAATACTATGGTGGATTCGGTCCAATTCCTAATTAGGGATGGTTCAGTACCGTATGACAAATATTTTATCTCATATTTTATCGTATATGATATTTTCGGTATGCAATAATACATACAATTACCTTATAAAAATTTCAGTACTTTTATAGGTATTTATTATTTTAGTAAATTATCATGATTTATTTGAACTTTAATACAGAGTATTAGAAATCATTTTAAGCCAAATGAAATATAGAAAATCAATAACAGTAGTGATATATTAAAACCATTAATAAGATTAATTATAAAATACTGAGGATTATCTATAGAGATTCAATTTTGAAAGAGAATTATTATAAAATTGTTTCAATATTTCATCATATGAGATATGAAGATAACAATACATTCTCCAAAAATAATTTAAGCAACATATATATATACAGTGGCGGAACCAGAACACGTGACTCGCAGGGGCACAATTAACAAAGAAATGATATAGTAGTCTAGAAAAAAAATCATAGGCATCACGAATATAGCAATAAACAAAACTATAAAATTAAAATAAAACAACTACTTAAAGAGTACCTTAATTTTGATTAGAACCTGACGCGGCAAATGAAGGACAATCATTGAAAGGCGGCAATCTTTGTCTTCGAGGTGCCATACTCTGAAATCGCCTCATTATGACTTCATTCTCAATTTTAACAAATACATCTTTCTCAATGTAACACACCAAACAATCTGTCAAGTATTCTTCTCCAATCTTGTTGCGCAAATCATTCTTGATAAACTTCATCGTCGAGAAAGATCTTTCAACTGTGGCGGTTGTAACGGGTAAAACCAATGCCAATTGGATGAGTCGGTACACTAACTTATAAGTTGTGTGCCACTCTGTTTCAACCAATGTTTTTGCCAAATCTTCAATACTTTGTAGGCCTGAAAATCGTGGAGATGATTTGACAAATGTAATGAACATCCTAAGTTGTTCATTTAGTTCAAATTTTTCTCTTGAACTAAAATCATCTGGGTATAGATTAGCAAGACGAAGTAGTCGCTTCACATCAAAATTGGAGAATGGGTTTTTGGGACTTAACGATGCTATGCACATTAGTAGCTCTGAACTTGACTCGGTAAAACGATTATTCATCTCTTGAATACGACGATCAATAACCTAACATTATATTAAAAAACGTAATTAATTACAATAACAAAATAAATAAATTTAAATACAATTACGTAAGGAATAAAACTTTTAAAAGTACCTCGAGAAAAATGTCAACATGAAAATAGTGATAATAAGTTTTCGGACTACCATCAATTGTCTTCTGCCTTTTCACTCGTCCTGGCTTTACATCCATCATATTAGGTACATCAATATCATGTTTTGAACAAAATGTAGCCACTTCTTCAATCAACAAATCCCAACCATAATCATTCCTATATTTCTCCAAATCGGTTTTGACGGTCTTGACAAGATCCACAACATTGCCTATGTTTTGATTTTTTTGTTGCAATTCCTTTGATAGCACATTAGTTTTTCCCAATAGTTGCAACATGAAATGCGCAATGAACACAAAATCATAGGATGCCATTTTTTCAATCAAACTAGAAGAAGTGGACTTACTTTTGAGATCAACACCATCATCAAATATAGCTTCAAGCACCTCAATGACCGCATCCCACATATCAACAACTCTAATGATTGTTTTATAATGGGAACCCCAACGAGTATCACCCGGTCGTGCTAGACTTTTTTCTTGATTTTTCCCCTTCCCCGTGCTAACCTCACCACGTTCTATACGGGCTACAAGATCCTCATAATGCTTTTGTAAAAGATCATCTTTTCTCTTACATGATGCACCAACCACATTTACAATCATGATGAGATGATCAAAAAAACTACCAACTATTCCATTGCTCTTCAAAGAGGACACAATCACTAATTGAAGGCGATGAGCAAAACAATGAACATAATGTGCTTGCTTATTTTCCTCCATTTTTTTTTTTGTTTTAATCCATTAATTGCACCACTCATATTGGAAGCCCCATCATAACCTTGGCCTCGAACCTTAGACATCGAAAGACCATATTTTGTAAAAAAATCATCAATGGCATTTTTCAATGTCTGCGCACAAGTGTTACTAACATGCACCACTCCCAAAAATCGCTCAATTACCTCCCCACAATTGTTAACAAACCTTAAAACCACATACATTTGCTCTTTTATGGAACTATCTCGAGCCTCATCAATCAACAAAGAGAAAAAATTGCTACCAACCTCATTAATAATAGCTAGTCTTACCTCAGTTGCACAAGCATTAATAACGTCCTTTTGAATTTTAGGAGAGGTTAGTTGACTATTCCCGGGAGCATTTGACTTCATTACCATATCAATATGTGGATGCCGTCTACACATTTCAAGAGTTCAAGAAAATTACCTGTAAATACAAATAATGCAATTATGCAAACATGCAATAGTCATTAGAATTTTATAATGAAATAAGTAATAAAAAATAATGGAAATAATCTAATAAAATTTACCAGAATGCGTAGAAGTAGCTGATTCATCATGACCTCGAAAAGCCAAACCACCCTCTAAAAGGAATCGAACTACATCAACAATAGTTGTTAATCTTGCACGATACTCAAGCTCATCTTTTATGGTTTGTTGTGAATATACATAATCCACATTTTGCTTTTGGTTTTGAAACCCGGACCATTTAATTTTTGCATAATGATGCATGCTTTCTAGACTTCCTTCGTGGTCACGGAATTTTTCCTTAGCTTTCTTCCAGTTATTAAACCCAACTTCAGTAAAAGCATCATCTCCATTTTTATGATGTCTACCAAACAAATAACACAAATGGGAAAATGTTGCATCTTTAGCAACACTATACTCCAACCAATTAAATTCATCAAATCACTGTTTTTGGAATGATCTGTTGCGCCCATTAAAATCACTTTGTGGAAATTTAAAGTCACGCGGTTGGCAATGACCTTTTGTCAAATAACGTCTCCTCAACTCATCTCTAATATTAACATCAAAAGTCTCAATCGGCTTACGCAATCCAGGATCACCAACAATGTCATCATCCGACAATTCAATCTCTATTCGAGCTTTTTTAACATTACTCTCATTGTTAGGAATGACATTTTCCGATGAAGAAATTAAATTATTCGATGAAGAACCACCAATGATAGGCTTTTTCGGTTTCGGCGGAATTGCCGAAAAATATCGTAACATAGCCATTGTTTGTAACACAACCTAGACCAACTACAATTGAAATTTGAAATAATATGAGTATAATTTTTCAAAATTGAACAATTAAAGTATTCAACATTTAAACCATAAGTGATAAGTCACACAACATATACGAATCAATGATTCAATAAAACATAAATCATTCATCAACAACACAACAAATCAACAATTAAAAAAAATTAAAACATACCTTCGGCCTTCGGGCTTCGGCAATCGGCACTGGCCGCACTGCGTGACTCACGGGCGGACTGGGCGGTGGTCGGTGGAATTCCTGGCGTGGCCGGCTGGCCGCGTGGCGGACTGGCGGCGTGGATGGAGGAAGTTCCTGGCGGCTGGCGTGGATGGAGGAAGTTCCTGGCGTGGGCGTGGGTCAGCGGTGGGCGCAGGCGCGCAGCCTGAGTCGCCGGGTCGGGAAAGCTGGAAAGGCCAAAAGGGGGGAGGGATTGGCCGATTGGGGGAAGCGGGGAAGTGGGAAGACTGGGATTCTGGGAACTGCCGATTGCCGAACGATTTGGGAAAGGGGGCCAGGGGGAACGGGAATGGGAAAGGGTCGGGGAACGGGAAAAGGGGATTTAGGCCGCAGGAAAAGGGGAAGGGGAATTGGGATTGGGCTTGGACTGCAGGGGCCCAAGTTAAAAAAATTAATAATATATATATATATATATATATATATATATATATATATATATATATATATATATATATATATATATTTAAAAAAAAAATCACTGGGGGGGCCCGGGCACCCCCTAGCCCTAGGGTGGGTCCGCCCCTGTATATATAAATAAAATAACACAATTCTCTAATGAAAAATATAAACAGTTCAAGAAACATGGACACAACGTCATTTATCCTTAAGTAAATGTTGTGTTTCTAGTCATTTTTATAGTTCTAGAGAAATTATTGGCTTGGACTTTCAGTGTGATGGTATACCGTTTATTTTCAAAATATATACTGATATCATACCTTACTGAAAGTGTCGGTACACCAAACATTTCGATAAATTCTGTATTTTTCATTATGGTAAGTGTGGTATACCAAAGTTTCCGTATTTATCCCCACACCTAATCCCAATTAACTATAACATTGAATTGGAACCTTAACTAAACCTATTCTGTATGATTCTGGTATTGGTATTTGAGAAATCATTAATAGCGTATTATAATAATTATTAGTATTGAGGACTCATATGTAATTACTTATCTCTTGTTTAATATAAATACATCACTAGGGCTACCACAATGGTAAGCTATTACTCTCCAATTGTATTCTTTCACATGGTATCAGTCGCACGGGTTCCCTAACCCTAGTTTACTATGTCGCATCCTCCAGTCACGACGCCCGCCTCCATTTCTGCAGTGCAGCCTCCTCGACCGGAAGCAACCATGCCGGTCACGGCTTCTATCTCGGCGCCCTCCCCAGTCCAGGAGCTGCCTCCTTCTTCAGGCGTGATCATGTCGCCCAACCTGCTTTCTTCTTCGAGACTACATCCAAATTCATATAACTTGTTTCACATGCCGGAGCCTTTCACGTGGACTCCAACCCTCACCATGGCGCCTCCTCCCCCAGTGCAGACACCTTCCGCGTCGCCAGTTCGAGCTCCATCACCCAGCCTGCCTGCTTTTTCTAATATTGGCAAAATTAATATAGCTACTTCTCGCCGTTCACTCATTTTAAACAGAGTTTATTATGTACCGCAACTTAAATACACATTACTATCTATTCAACGTTTGTGTGCGGATAATGATCGCTCAGTCATTTTTAATAAAAATTCTTTTTTTGTTAAGGACAACCACTCGGGGGCCATCCTTCTTCAAGCCACCAATAAAGACTGTGTCTATCCCTTTAGTGCTGCCCATCAACATGCCCCGTCCCTAGCCTTCAAGACATCGCTTGTACCAGGTCCGGTTTGGCATAAAAGGCTTGGTCAATGTGGGGATCGCATTTTATCTATTCTTAGGAAAAACAATTTCATTACCGGTTCTAGTTTATTTTCTCATGATTGTGTTTCATGTAAACTGGGCAAGTCCCATCATCTACCTTTTAATGATGCTCTTCATGACTTTACTGCTCCTTTACAGTTAATACATTCTGATGTTTGACAATCACCTGTGTTATCTCATTTAGGTTTTACATGGGTCTATCCCATGCATAGGAAATCTGAAGTTTTTACTCATTTTTGAAATTTTTAAAAAATAGTTGAAAATTTGTTTAATTGTAAAATTAAATGTTTTCAGAGTGATGGAGGGGGTGAGTTTGTAATTAATACTTTTCAGCAACATTTTCTTAACTGTGGAATTCTTTTTAGAAAATCTTGTCCGGATACACCGGCTCAGAATGGAGTGGCCGAACGAAAACATCGGCAATTACTTGAATTAGCCGAAACTATGATTATTGACGCCAATCTACCGAGTTCTTTTTGGGTTGATGCGTTGTATACCGCTACTTTTGTTATCAATAGGCTGCCCACTTTCATTCTGGGTAATCGGTCTCCGTTTGAGATGTTGTTCCATGAACCTCCTGATTATAGTTTGTTTACGTGTTTTTTGTTGTGCCTGTTTTCCAAATATTATAGCTTCCTCCTCTAATAAATATTCCCCACGTTCCGTTCTTTGTGTTTTTCTGGGTTATGCTTCGGGGTACAAGGGTTATCGTTGTCTTGATCCCCGAACTGGGCGTGTTTATGTTAGCTGAGATGTTATTTTTAATGAGTCGAGCTTCCCCTACACCACCTTGACACCTTCCCTCAACACCTCAACCTCACTCCTACCTCCGCTGCCCACTTACCTCCACTGCCCTCACCCGAACATTCCCCGACCTCCGCCCCTAGTTCCAACCACATCCCATCTACATCCATCCCTAGTCCGCATGGCCAGTCCGTTCCTAGTCCGACTGCCTCAGATTTTTCTTCCCATAGTTTGCCCACTTCGAGTTCGACCCATAGCCTGTGCGACCACCATCTCCCAAGTCCCAGTTCATCCACTTCCACGGCCAACACTTCACCATCCACCCCTTCGGACACCCCACCTACATCCCCACCACGGATGGCTCAAAATATTCACCCTATGCGTACCAGAGCTAAAGATGGAATTTTTAAACCCAAAACCATTTTTAATTTAAATGCTTTAGCTCTCCCGCATGATCCTACTTGTTTTTCTCAAGCAAATAAATCTTTAGTGTGGCGGACGTCAATGACTGAAGAATTTAATGCTTTAATTGATAATAAAACTTGGGATTTGTACCTAGCGACAAGACAAAAAATGTGGTTGGCTGTAAATGGGTTTATAAAACAAAATATAAATCTGACGGGTCTATTGAGCGCCATAAGGCGCGTTTGGTTGCTCAAGGGTTTAACCAAAAAGCTGGAGTTGATTTTTCTGAAACCTTCGGTCCTGTAGTCAAACCTACAACTGTTCGTCTTGTCCTTTCAGTTGCTATTTCATTGGGGTAGACTATTCGTCAATTAGACGTGAAAAATGCTTTTCTTCATGGTCATCTCATTGAAGAGGTATATATGCGCCAGCCTCCTGAGTTCGTTCATCCTCAGTTCCCTACACATATATGCCGTCTTCGATCGTAAGGCTCTTTATGGTCTGAAGCAAGCATCCAAAGCATGGTTCCATCGTTATAGTGGTTTTCTTCTGTCCCTTGGATTTACTCAGAGTCGGTCAGACTCCTCCAGGTTTATCTTACGTTCTTTTTCTCACACTTTATACATTCTCTTATATGTTGATGACATTCTTATCACTGGTAGCTCGTCCTCTCTAGTCAGTCAATTCATACAGGTTCTATCTCATCAGTTCGCCATGAAAGACCTCGGTGACATCCATTTCTTCCTTGGCATTCAAGCACGCCCAACCCCTCATGGTCTTTTTCTTTCACAACAAAAATACACGAACGATCTTCTCCGTCAGTTTCATCTTCACACTGTCAAACCGGTACGTACTTCTCTTCCTTCCCGCACCACTTTATCTCTTACTGATGGGGATTTACTTAGTGATGGTACTGAGTATCGTAGCATGTTAGGTGTATTACAATACTTGACTATTACCCGACCAGATATTACTTATGCCGTTCACCTGATTTCTCAGTTTATGAATGCACCACGTACTACTCATCTAGCCGCTGTTAAAAGAATTTACAGGTACTTACAGGACACTTCTTCTCACGGCTTGTGGCTCCGTTCCAGGCAGAGTATTTCTGTTGTTGTTGCATATTCTGATGCTGATTGAGCTGAGTGTCCAGATACATGTCGCTCCACTACAGGTTATGCTATTTTTCTTGGTGGAAACCTTGTGTCTTGGCGTTCTAAGAAACAACCTACTGTTTCTAAATCATCCACAGAAGCTGAATATCGTGATGTTGCATACACGGTCTAGGATACTTTATTTATTCATTCTCTTCGGTACGACTTGGGTATTACACTTCCTACTCCAGTGAAATTATTTTGTGACAATGTTTCAACATCATATCTTGCGGTGAATCCTATTCAGCACGACCGTAGTAAGCACATCAAGATTGACTATCACTTTATTCGTGAAAGGGTGGCTCATGGTGATCTCTCGGTCAAATACATGCCTACTCAGTACCAACTTGCTGATATTTTTACAAATAACTTGTCTAGTCAGCGTTTTTAATTTTTGCGTTCCAATCGCACGTGGTTTCCCCGCACAGATTGAGGGGATGTAATAACGTATTATAAATTTATAATAATTATTAGTATTGAGGACTCATATGTAATTACTTATCTCTTGTTTAATATAAATACATCACTAGGACGACCACAATGGTAAGCCATTACTCTCCAATTGTATTCTTTCACAATCATATCCGACTTGGATTAGTTCTCCGACTGTACGATATGATTGTTCGCTGCCGTAAGGCACACTACCGTACGGTAGATGATCCCAATCGTAGTTCCACTCTTCGAGTACCTCAAAATGGGCATTGATTTAATCTGTCCCGGTATATAGAACAAATATTACTTTGAGTTTCAAAATAAAAGAATTCAGTTATATAATGTGCTTTAGTTTGAATTGTAATGAAAGTATCCCTACGTGGAGTTGATATATAATATGCCTTACACTTTTGGAATACTTTTACTTGACTTATTCCAGACCAGACTTCCACATTTTTACAATACACATATATCAGACATATATATATCTACCAGACCATATCAGTTCACATCAGATCAAATTAGAGTTAAATAGATTAGACCAGTAAATTTTAGTCCAAGTAAAAATATCTTTAGAGGGCTCAACAAGTGCCTGATTCTTGATTCATAATTGTTTAGTACATCATGTTTAATTTGCACATAAGTAATGAACAAATTCATATCCAACTTCAGAATGACAGGTTCAAGTTCACGATTTCACAATACTTCAAAAATAAAACAAAGATAAAGAAAACAAATTGGAAGCATGTGCCCAACTAGGATTCAGTTCGTATACCGTGGAAGCACCCCACGGTGAGCACCGTGCTCCACTCCCAAAACGATGTAGTTTTGCACATTTTTTTAAAAAAAAAATCACGTGAACAGTACACGCGTGTACAGTAATTTTTTTTATTTTCGTCCCAATAGCATGAACTATGTAACTTGTGTATAATTATATGTAACTCG